TACATTTAGAAATATTAGCTACGTACACCTGATTTGGGTAAAAAATACTATGGGAAGTAATGCCTATATTATAAGATGTGATTAAAGTAGGGTTGAGGCACCCTTAATGCCTCTAAAGTCTAGATCTTAGTACTGGAAAATTGTCCACTTGCGGCAAAGCACAAAATAGCTTTGGCAGAGATCAGATGATATGTCCAGACAGAATAAAATCTTGTGCAGCAGTCGCTCACGTGAACCGCTGCAGTAGAGCCAAAGTGGAGTCAATTCGTTTTGCGTAGTTCTTCCCCAAATAGATAGTTTAGGCCTAGGGCAACCGTCAGATTTAGCAAAATTAATGACTACCATTCTCATATTTGTATTCTTTTGATTTTCGCGGCTTCTTAGCATAAAGATGACGCCGTGAAAACTAAAAATTTAACGAAGAACGCCGTTCTTATATTAATAGGCCCGCAAATGGCCGTAACCACTCAGTCGCCGTTTCTCCTGGCAATGATCAATAAAACCAGTTTCTAATATCAAGAAGAAGATTTCCAAGCCTGGAAGTTCATTGCCCAGATCAAGTATTGCCAAGAGAAATGGCAACTGGCGGAGAGGCATAGGTGTACGTGTGTTCGGCACTGCTGTAGGTTGACTGGTTAGAACCACGGATGGTCATGCAGCCGTCTGAGATAATACGTATACGGGTGTTACACATGAAGCCATAAAAGACCCTATATACATGTAATAATGCCTTGATCTTAGCGCCTATGGGCTACGGGCTACGGGTGAGGGAAACGTATATATAGGAAATTACTAGATAGGTGACTCTAGACGGGGGGGGGGTGAGACGAGTGGTACTAAATTGGCCCAATTCCCTTCCCCCCTACGCCCCTGGGCAGCTATCCCAGTGTTCAATACAGAAAAGAACAACCACAACTGTACGCTAACCCAGGCCAGACCAGGCCATTCGCTCGTTTTCACCATGCTTGGTCTCCTTCGAATTTCGCAGCCGCGGCCGAGTGTTCTCCTCGTTTCGTTCTGGCTTGCCGCATTTTTCCTATTCTTATACTTTTTAAGTACTTCATTATCCTCTGGGTGCTCATCACTCCCATTTTCAGGACAATGTGGATCAAGACACCTCCAGTCAGATATCAACGCGAAGAATCTAGCCATGTCAAATGATCAGTGCGAAGTTGCATTTCCAGGATTGTTTGTTGAGATTGATAGGATGGTAGCGGGAAGAAAAGGTCGAAAAATACGACTCGATGAGCTAGAGAAGCTCGAGTTTGAAAACTCTTACGGATATATCAGGGCGATGATTCGTGATAACCAGGTATTATTGTTCTGGAGCGCCTAACTTGTCAGCACCATTAACGCAATATGCAGCTTTATGTGATTACTGCAAACGACGGTATCAATTCTCGCCGTCTCGCAACTCTCCATTCCCTCCACCAAGCCATAATCACCAGTCCACACCCTCTTCCTAATAGCGAGTTTGCTCTTGCCACTGGGGATAAACTTGAGGGGGGCTACCTTGCCTGGGCGTTCGCTCGGGACGTTGGAGAAACAACCAATAGCACCTGGCTCATGCCTGACTTTGGTCACTGGTCATGGCCTGAGCCCAAAGTTGGCTCTTTTATCGAGGCTCTCCTCAAAGCTGACGATGTCGATGCGGAATATATATCACCTAGAGACGGGAGATATTCACTTGATGGGAAGGAAAACAAATTGGTTTGGCGTGGTGCAGACTTGGGGTTGGATATAAGGAAAGGCCTGTTTGATGCCACGAAGGATAAGCCGTGGTCCAACATTAAAACTGTGGATTGGGGAAATCCGGAAAGTGTTAAAAACGACCTTTTGACGATGGCAGACCACTGCCGGTATAAATTCCTGGCACATGTGGAGGGATACAGTTACAGCGGGAGACTCAAGTATCTGCAAGCTTGCCACTCTGTCATCATTGCCCATAAATTGAACTGGGTTCAGCATTACCATCCACTCATGGTTTCACAGGGACCACTACAAAACTTTGTAGAGATCAAGAGAGATTGGAGCGATTTGGAGGAGAAGATTGAATTTTTGATGAAGAATCCTGCAAAGGCCGAAGAGATCGCAGCGAGGAGTAGGGAGATTTGGAGGAGGTACTTGAGTCCTGCCGCGACCAACTGTTATTGGAGGAGGCTTTTGGTGGCATGGGGAGAGCTGCTGGACTTTGATCCCCAGTTCTACAGTGATTCGATCACGTTGAGCGGAAAAGGGAAAAGTGGCCGGGAATGGAGAGGAGTACCATTCGAGAGCTTCTCGGTGAGTTTCTAGTTTATCTTTATAACTGTTGCTTCGCCGACTAATCCAAAATAATTACATAGCTACTTCAAAAGCTTCATTGGGATCCTATGTAAAGCTCCAGCTCGATATGTAGTTACAACTTCAGAGAGAGCGGGAGATCTGGGTGCCCATTATTATACAATGTATAGATTACATATCATTCATGCAGGGCATTATTTTCACTGTATATTATCAATAATTAGTGTTTAATAGGGATAGGGCATTATTTTAACAGATAAATTCTTTATCTCTATAATATTAGACGTTGCTCGCAAGTTCCGACCTGGTCTAAATACATGTACTTACCTAGTACAGGTAGATCTATTCTATACTGACGGCTAATATAAAGAATAGAAAAAAAGAAAGAAAAAAAAGCCCTTTATGATTTATTACTGATCTTTTCTTCACATATGCATCTTATATATGCATTCTCAGATAAAATGGGAGAATATGCGCCGCAAGTGATGGACACATACGTTAAGCTGTCGAAAGGACGGAAAAGAAAAATAGTGGAACTTGAATTGATTATGAAGCTAAAATACAAATAAACAATTATATTTTTGTTTCGCAACACCCTGGCCTTTTGTGTTGCAGACGTAGTAGGCTAGGAGTCTATCCCCTATATACATCCGGGAACTTTTGATTGCTGTTACGCTTTTGCGCTTAGTTTCACAGGTTATCACTCGGGTGCTTGGCCTGTAGAGTACGTTGGGCATTCTTGACATCGAGATGGTGGTGACCGACGGTCCAGATACCATCAGCTATTGACATTCATACCCGCATAGCTTAATTTTTAACAATTTTATACGTATATCGTACATTTATATGTATGTGATTCATCTGTACCCAAAAGCCGAACCCAGATCCTGAACAAAAAAACGCCAACACTGATATATCTTACATGCCACCATCGTCATTTACTTAGAAGTCGCCTCCACCAAAATCCATATCACCACCAAATTCCCCACCACCGCCATAATCCTGTCCATCCTCAAAGCCTTGATCGTATTGATGATCATCCATCGCGTCTGCCAACAACATACCTCCTAACAAACCACCACCTACACCTAACGCTGCCGCGCCACCGGCACCCATTCCCGGTCTTCTCTGTCCTCCCATCATGCCTCCACCACCGCCATAGTATACCGGAAGCTGCTGCTGCTGATAGTAGTATTGCTGCTGCTGTGGTCGGGGCGACTTGGCAGCATGTGATTTTAGAAACGATGACAAGCGCCCGCTAAGCCCTCGCGAAGGAGAACTTGAGCCTGAAGTTGAAGTCTGGGGTCGAGGAGGTTGTAGGTATTGTTGCTGCTGCTGTTGAGGCTGTGGAGGGAGGAGAGATTCATATTTCTGTTGAGGAGTTGGGGTTACCGGTCGGTCTTCGCGGCGGCTACTTTCGCTGTTATAGGCGGGTGGACGGTCGAAATCAGTGGGACTCCGACCTAATTTTCGATCAGTAAATTTCTTTTGTGAGCAGGACATTTTAGGATATACCTAGAGCAGGAGGGTCAATAGTCCCCGGCGGCTTCTCCCATTGTGATTGTTTTGTGTAGGTGTTGACATAGTAGAAGCGTTGGTAGCGCTCATCAAAACGTGCGACCCATCCTTCGGGCATTATTGGAGGTGGAGGACCAGGTGGAGGGGCGAAATCCTCATTAAGCCCAAGGTCACTGTCGCGAGTACTTTTGGTATACGACATTATTGTTATATAATTATATGGTTCGAATAATTGCTTGTGAGTGATATCGAGAGGTGAGTGATAGTTTATGAACGAAGTTCTTGAACTATTAATATGGTATAAGATGTGGTTATGCAGAGGGATGTGGGTCTATGATGGAAGCACAAAGTGTTTATATAGACGGCTCAAACCCCTCTGAAATTCCGCAAGAAACAGGATTACTCTAGATACTTGTCTTGGGGTGGCTTGGGTCGTGATTTATGACCTCACCGCTGCGTACGCCTCTGATGCTGTACTGATGCGATTGATAAGAAATTTAGTGATTAGATTAGATAAAGTGCGCACAAGACATAGATAAGGTGAGATTTTCCGGTAGAGCGTGTACTAGTGTGTACATGATGCAAGGATCAGGACACACATGCTAAAGTCAATTTTGGGGTTGAGAACAGGTTGTGAAAAGTGAACCTCGCAGCACTTTGTGGGATGTCAAACATAAACCTCCTTGAAATTCATGTCGTGATGATCCTCGGTAACATCCACCAGAGAGAAAAAGCGCCATTCTGATGATGATGGTGGCCATACAAATACAGTACCCGAGTAAGCTATACATGTACCAACCTAGAAACGGATAGTACCGGTTGCTAAGCGCAGGTTCGCAAAGAGAATCTTCCAACGCGCTCCGCGACCTGCTCTACCCAGGCGAAGAAGAAAAAAAAAACGAATTGTTCCTAGTTGCGTAGAGTTAGATGGGAAAGGAAAGACTGTACCGTATCGATACTTCTAACGATTGGCCATTCACTCAACTCCCTTCACCTTGTGAATTGCGATTTCTTGCGGCACCTCTCATTTCTTTACTACCTTTTCTCCAAACTCGTTCAGCTCACCCATTTATACGTCGCTGCTGTCAAATTGCGCCCGTACGTCCATACATACGCACATAGTCTTGCCACACGATACGAACGCAGATACCCTCCATTATTATCCAATCAATTAGTGCGTTGCTCGACCACAGCAGAGCATGTACCCGCGGGGTAGAACTGGTGGAAGAGACAGGAGCAGAGACCCATCTAGAACCTTTCAGCAAGGTGGTAGAGAACGTGACTACCCAAGATCAAACTATCGTAACAACAGAGATCGTGAAGGACCGTACAGGGACGAGACCTTCGAGCGCCGGGGAGGCGGTAGAGACGTTAGAGACGGTAGAGAGAGGGATCGAGACGGTAGAGACAGTGGGAGAGAGAGAGAGCCGCATCCTCTACCTGCTCCTCCACCACCGCCGCTGCCAGTTGCCCCTCCCGCCCCCCCCGCCCCTTTGCTGCCGCCCACTCCCTTGCTGTCCGACCAGCAGTCTAACTATACGAGGGAACAATCTTCAGTCCTCTCTCGCCGTGGCAGCATCACGCGTGAGCCACCTCTCCCACCACTCGATCCAAACTCTCGCCGGCAACCTGGGGCAATATCCACGCGGAAGGAGACGTTTCCTGAACCCTCTCCGCGTGAAAGGGGCATGATTGCGGATCCCCAAGGCGGTCCCCCACCTCGTCGACAGATTTCAGGTCCAGGGCCAGGTTCGTGGGGGGGTGATGACAGAGCTAGGAGTGAAACACAGCGCAACTCGGTTGAACTTAATAACAGTCATCGGCTATCTCGCTCGCCCGCTGGGTCCCCCCGGAGTGCTCATCGTGCCGCGTCTCCTACAACATCTGCCGCTGCTACCCCGACAACGACAAACTCAACAATCAACTTTACTTCTGCTTTGATGCCTCCATCAGCATTGTCGTATTCTACTGCTACGGGTGGAAAAGAACAACGGTATGCTAGGTTAGTGGATTCGGGATCCTCCTTGCTAATTTCATCCCAAATTTGTTTGCTGACACGTTTATCTTCCATCCTAGCATATTCCAGGAAGCATCCTTTGCTTATTGCAAGTACCTCGAAGCCCTAAACAATTTCAAAGCTGCCGATAAGGAATGTAGGGACCATGCCGAACACTTCAATCTCTTTCCAGTCATGCGAGAACGCTACGAGGGTAATGCAAGGGCAGCCAAAAAAGAATTAAATATAGCCCAGGAAGCCCTTAGGCATAAGTCCATACCATTAGAGGAGCTCTGTCGACAGTTGTTCAAGGAGCATGCAGTAAATACGGGCACGGAAAACGCCATTGCGTTCTTTCAAAAGATACAGAAGGAGCTTGGGAATAGCTCGCTCACGCAGTTTGTTAAGTCAAACGCGCCAGCACCAGCCTTGGTGCCCTCGGGTCCGTCGAAGAGCGAGTTCCAGCAGCTCCGTGATGAACTACAGAATATGAAAAAAAAGCAGGAGGAAGATGAGAAGATGAGGCAGAATTTTCATAATGAGTTTCATAATTACAAGAACAGCCAATCTGACCGATTCCGGTCTCTGAGCTCGAGGCAAAGTAAGATAGAGGCACTTCAGAAGGAACTTAAGACAGAGGTTGAGCAGACTAAGCACACAGCTGTCAAGACGGAGGAGGGACTGAAGACAGTGATGACGCTGCTGACAGGGGTAAAAGGTGATGTGGAGAAACTGCAGGAGGCTGCAAATACTAAGGGTAGTACGGATGTTGTAATGGGTGATGCTGGTAATGATATTGGGACTGTCTCCGAGCAGGTTAAAAAGCTTTTTGAAACTCTGGGAACTATTCAGAAGACTCTCGTAACAGTACGTATTCAATTCGGCAGAATCTCAATGCCCTGTCAAATAAAAGTTTGCTAAGTTTTTTCTTTCTTTCTTTTTTTAAAAAGACCCAACAAAAACTGGCACAAACAGCTTCGAAATGCGCCAACGACATCAAGGGTCTCGAACAGAAGATTTCCAAACTGGATATCAAAGAATTACAGGCCTCCCAGATTCAGGGAGCCCTCCCTCTGCAGGAATACGCAACAAAATCAGATATCTCGCGCTTGGAAGATCACATGCACCAACAAGATAATTTAATTGATAATGTCCGTATTGGTATTGAGGGGGATACCACGCTAGTGTCAGAAACAATCCATCTTCTTGAGACAACCTTGGAAAAGAACAACCAAGAAACAGCGGGAGAAATCAAAGCTACAGGAGAAAGAGTCCAGGCCTTAGAACAAACGTGGAACGATCGAATTAAAAACCTCACTTCCCTGCAGGAAAGGAACAGAGCTGCTCATCTCGAAGAGATCAAATCTCTACGTGAAGCCCATGCAACTGATATGGAGGAAGTTGGCAACAGAGTAGGCTATGTGGAAAGCCAGCTTGAAGGTCACGCAGTCGCAATCAGCCACGTTGATCAGAAAATGACAAATTTTACGACAAAAGACTTTTACGAACGGGTGATTCAGGAACTTATGAAGATCAACCCCATGATATTCAGTCAAACACATCAGCTCAGCAGTGTCTGTAACGAAGTGAAAACGATGAAAGATGCACTCCGGAACCTTGGCGAGCGGTTGAAGCAGTTAACAGAGCAACGAAACATCAATGCCAACCTATCCCCTCACTCTGTCCTAGACGCTGCTTCTGCTCAAGACGGCCCTTCTAACGGGGCCCTCAAATCCGACTCATCGGAAGGGCCAAGCCCCTCTCTCACCTCTGCTATTGCAGATATAGACACCTTGCGAACACGAATCGACGGCGTTGAAAAGGGGTTAGCTGATCATATCACCGCGTATCTTAAGAGGATAAACGATATAAAAGACTGGACAGTCTCCGCTTCCGAGCGTCTTGCCCTACACACAGAAAGCGCCGCTGCTATCTCAGAGGATATCAAGGCCCTCAGGGAGTACCTTGCTTCGCTGGGCTCACTCTCGGGAAGCCCAGTGCAAATCCCAAATGCTGATCGATGGAGAGCTGTCGCAAGCTATCAAGATCAAATGCAGGGCATAACTTCGTCATCAAACGAGAACGGAAACACAGTTGGGAATGGTAACGGGAATGGAAACTTTTGATCACCTTTCTTTTTTGCAGGCGGATAAGATGGGATGTAGGAGTTTCAATGTATAACTATAGCTATTCCTCGTATTTCTGTTACTTCACTCTTTTTATCAGGAGGTTAGACAGCCCAGAAAGAAAAGAAGAGAGCACCCTTAACTAATTTGTCCTATTCCCAACTTCCTTCCACATTATCATTAAGATTGTTTCCATTTTCTCTCGTTTTGTTTTCTGGTTGCAGCTTCATGGGCGTGTTGGGCGTTTGAATACTTTTTTTTTCCCCTTTGCAATTACACCTTTCTGGTTATTTTGGTACCGAGTAGTGGTGTTGGAGAAATTGTATAAGAAGATGCTGTACAAGAATATAAATGATTTGATATGGTGTTGGAGAAATTGTATAAGAAGATGCTGTACAAGAATATAAATGATTTGATATGTTGTTGGAGAAATTGTATAAGAAGATACTGTACAAGAATATAAATGATTTGATATGGTGTTGATGAAGCAGAGAAGGCTACGATTTGATGGTTTTCTGGACTCAGGGGTCTTCGATTTTTCCCACTTATGACCGAGAGTAGCTAGATAACTCCCGATCTGATCTATATCACATTTTATGTACTACATGTATGTACTTACTACAGTCGCTCACCTAGTGATGGCGGATCCTGTCTGATGGTTGTGTTTGCAGTAATTTCCCCTTGGCGTCCCAAAGTTAACTCTGTTATTGGCCTCAAATCCCTGACCGCCATCAGACAGGATCCGCCTTCACCCCGTGAGTGACTGTACTTGAATTAAACTTTCAGCCTTATCCGCTCCAGAAAATTAAGGTTGCATGTCTGACATCCTTGGCATACATCATCGGTCAAAAAAAAAGCTTTTGAGCCTCAACTTAGCAAGGGTGACACAATCTTATCATGACCCCACTTACCTGATTCAACCTCTAGAAAAATCTATAAAACTAAAGATGGCGCCTCCACAGTCTATAGCCCACCGACGTACACACAACCTACTACTAATATCACGTCTTTTGAATCTACGCGATAATGTGTCGCCATTTACATTGTTGCTCGACTCATTGTCACAGAGCGCGAAACCGGTAGTGAGGGAATTTGTTAGACGTGGCTTGGTGAGACCTCCCTCATGGGACCTTGGAAGATCTGAAGCTAATAACTTCAGTTGGCGAAATGTGAGATCGTGTTCGTAGCATTCGAAACACTTCGCTGTCCACCTGGTATCGGAAAGTTCATCAAAGCCCGCGGGAAGACAATCCCTGTACTCCAGAGAGAGATCACAGCTGCAATTCCAGCCGGTGCCAGTAAGACAATTCTAACTCATCTCTCAGTCAATGGTACTAATCGTGCATAATAGAAACACTCCTAATTATTGACTCTCTCAACCCTCTTGCCACCTCCTCACCATCATCCCTTTGTCTGTTTCTTTCGTCTCTCCTCACACCCACAACTACTCTTCTTTCCACATACCATCTCGATGTTCCGCTCCCCCCACAAAAGTCATATCCAGAGACTGCACCCGAGGCTTTAACACTGTTGAAATACTTGTCTACGACGTTAGTAACGGTTCATTCGATCCATCATGCGCTCTTGAGGAAGCAGCACAAAGACCGATCATTACCTGCACCAGTGTGGGGGCTAGATGAGGGGACCGAGGGCGTAGTAGTAGGGTTAGGTAGTAATAGTACCGAGGGCGTAGTATTGGAAATGGAGTATAGGAGGAGGAGTGGCAGAAGGGTTAGCGAAATGTTTCACCTTCCCCTGGATGTTGCAGATAATGGAGTCAGGGAAAAGGAGAGAGTTGTGTTGCTCGAGGATCATCCGGGGTGGAGATTGTCGGAACAGGTGAGAAATGTGGATGATGGCCATGATGAAGAGGATGGGATGAGGACAACCTTTGAGTTGGGACTCACAGAAAGGCAGAAAAGGGCTAGAGATGAGGTCGTGTTGCCTTATTTAGATGCACAACGCGAAGGTGGTGGTAGGGGCGGGGCTATCCTATTTACACCTGATAAGGAGATCGATGACTTTGATGAGGAGGAGGACGAATTGTAGTTTGGTAATGGAATTTAAAAGAAAGTCTTCAAGGCTAGTTCAAATTTCATCACACTATCACTCGAACATTTGACTACTTCTTAAGTACGCACCCATTTATGGCTTAAGTTTCCAAATCCATAAGTATATGGATGTAAGATCATCTAGATGCAGAGCCATGTGGTCTGTCATAGAGGTGAAGATCTACTATCTTATATCTTAATTAAGCCAGTATTGCTATGTCATAATGTCAAGAGTGTTTAAGCATAAGTGCTTTCCCGAGAAGCATTCGAGGGCCCGACTTAGTCCCGCGGTGACGTACTGTACTCAACAGTAGCTTCAATCCATTTTGATTCATGCTGGGTCTTAATGTCTATTGAAACTTTCACCGAATAAAATATACTTCTTATACATCTATCGGCAGATACATGTAGGTACTGTGTATTTAGTTAGGCCCACCTTTAGGTGCTTCTCAACTTAGGTACCCTCTGGGTCACTCTGAGATGGCTATTCCTACCCAACTAGAGGGCACCCAAAGCGGAACCCTATGTAAGTAACCGGGGGATATATATTGAAAGCTACATATGATCAGGCCGGCATATATTACATAATACTACACAGCAAACGCTTTATGATGGTTACTATTTAATGTGAAATCTATGAGATCCCCAATAGATTTCAGAGGAGGAAATTAACGGCCGTTTGATTGAATTCACGTTAGTTGGATAAGTACTTGCATTTTTGCTTCGCATTGGTATTTTATGATTTGAGGATAGGAGTATACCTTGTGTCTGCATGCAGTACGCAACAATAAAATTCTGGGAAAGAGATTAGTCCACACCCGGATGAATACATGTATGTGCATTTAGCTAAATACATGTATCTTGATCTACCTATAGACATAGCGTATCGTTCAATATATGGGTGTCGATCTAGCAAAAGGTACCTCTATGGCAACGCAACGAGGCCTCACCAGTTCGCTACCGCACTGTACAGCCTCTAATTGATGGGACAAATGGTTGAAAAATTAATTCTGGGCCCTCACCAAGGTTCTCTGAATAAGGATTTGGCTGTGCGGACGGTTTTGCTAGATCGACACCCATATCTTCTTTGTGATTTAACCTCCTACAAGATTATCACTCAATTATAAGTCTTAATTATCAATCAGTACTATACTTAGATGTTATTTCAAAAAAAAAAAATTTCCTCCCTGAGGCCATGAGAAAAAATTATTGAATCGCCGAGGTTTAAATCGGGCAGCCGGGTAAATCCCATTACATAATTTATTTTCGGAACAGGGTTAGGGGACGTACTTGGCTGTCGACAGTTTCTCGAAACCTCATCAGTCTCTCCAAACAGCATATCCGACAACTCTATCAACAAAGTCAATTCTTTTTAAACAGATTACCTATCACAATGGTTGCTGCGTGGAAAACTGCTGGTCTTACGTAGGTATTCCAATACCCATACACTCGGGTCTGCTCGCTAACATAGAGACAATCAGCTACAACAAATACCTGGCCATCGCTGCCAGAGTCGTGCGGAGATCCTTGAAGGACCAGCCTCGTCTCGCTGCCGAGCGCCGTGGACAAATGGAACTCAAATTCGCGAAGTGGGAGGTTGGTCTATAATACCCGCCCTTCAAACGTTTCAAGGCACTAACGTAAGTTCCATATTAGAACGGCAAGCAGGGTGACATGAAGCAACTCTCTACTCAAGGCCAATAAAGGGTACAAATATAAGGTTGGGTCCGAAGGAATATACCATCGTCACTGTAAATGCATGTAGAAAATTCAGAGGCGGGGTTGATCATCGTAGACGTGGGTGTGTTATTCGTAGAATTGATTTTTTGTCACTCCTGGGTTGTATGGTCCTGTAGTCAATTTGACATTTGATCCGTGGTCTAAGTCAATCTCACTTTGTGACAAATCTTCGGGATTGAGGCTTCTTGTCACTACCAATCGGAGACACCCGCAAGCTCGCAGTGTGATATTCATTCCATCAACTCACTTAAGATATGACAAACACCGGAGTAGATGGAGTTCGCGATGGTATGCTGCTTTGAGGACCCATTGTTGATGTGACTGACCCCGCCAAAGGTCCCGCTCAGCCCAACATGAAGAATGATAGCATCACCGCAATGCATCCAAACTCACCACTATCGACCGATTCGTTTCGCGACATCACTGCCGAGTTCTTTGAAGCATCAGCAAGTCCGTTTTCTCGCTCATCCCATCAGTGTCGTGTTTCTAGACTTACGCTGTGGTTATAGAACTCAATGTTGGCCAGCTCGTCAAAGACCCATATTTCACCCTGCTCCAGGCAGTTGGTGCCTTAGAGGTATGCGTTTATTAGAGTAACCTGTATTTCCTTGGCGAGCACAGGATAGGGCTTGCTAATTATATTTTATGTGTACGGTGAAGATTATGGACCCAAAGATGGACAGTGGTATGCTAGAAGCGGAGTATGAATCCTTCAATGCTTTAAAGCCAAGGCTACCGGAAGAAGTTATTGGAATAATGGACCAGTTACTGTCCTACGAGGCAAGCAGTAACTCCATAAACAAGAATTTTATATGACTGGGGGCTCATTTTTGGGGTAGATGGCGTGGCACAACGGAAGCGCTCTCTCGCAGACAGTTTTCACTTGTCTGTATATCGATAGACTCCTTTCTTCGGGCCCGGAAACACTTGCACAAGCAACCTTTGCTAGTTTTACTGGAATAGAAGGAGATACAGACTCCAAAGAGCGACAATTACTAGAAAATGTGTTAAGGCCATATTGTCTGGCTCTTATCAAATGTTGCTACTGCGTCAACCAACAGATACAGATGGAGCACATATATGAAGTTCGTGAAATAGCAGAGTTCCCTCAAACTAGCACACGTTGACAAAAGTTTAGGAAGAAGATTTTGTTACACAAACATACAACGTATCTCTGCTCGACTCTGTGGAACCAAACGAAATTTTGAACATCTTGGATTCTGCTCTACAATGGTTGGAAGCTACCAAGAACTCATATACCAACGAGATCTTCGAGGCATTAGAGTGCCGTTTATTGCACCGAAAATCCTTTTTTCGCGACCTTTCTCGTGAGATTGAAGAATGGGTTTCTGGGGTACCTTCTGAATGGGATTCCTCCCTCGAGCTTCTAGCAAAGGTTGAGAAATCTCACCCGCTGGGGAAGCCGGTCTCGGAAGCATTTAGCACGTCTGTACAAAGAAAGTTAGCAAGCCAGGTGCCACCGAGGCCAATGGTTGAAATTTCCTTTAAGGATGCCACTTCTAGTTTGAAGAAATTGTGCATTGAAGGGAAGGATGTATTGAAAATTTTGAAATACCAGGGCTCGACTAATCTAGTCGTAAGTGAATATTCAACCCTTAAATATATATATATTAACTTCTAATCGTTAGAACTATTTCCTGAACTTCATGGCTCGAAAACCGTCACCTTCACCATATGTCCGCTCTCTTCTACAGTCTCTATTCTTCAAAGAGATGAAAATTCTGGGGACAATGCCAATAAAACAACTCCTTTTTGACGATGTGAGGGAATTGACTAATCCTGTAGATTTACTATTGGACCCACGGAATGAAGCGGTTGAGGCGCCACAGGACCCGAGATTTAACATCGTAAAACGAACCAATTGGTTCATAGAACGTGCGGGGCGCTCGTACCTTGATCTTTTCCGAAATATTTGCCAGAATAGGTCCCGTTTACGAAGAAACTTATGTCACGCCATATTAGATTGGGATTCTTTACAAGTTGAGTGCGAAGAAATAGATTCGGAGCTTCGTGAACTTACGCAAGAAGAACCACAAAAAACTCCAAATGGTCCTCCTAGCTACTCATTTCCGTTGTCTTCATGGGTCTACCTTTACAAATTGCGCCAGATGGAATGGATCATTCTTCTCGGGTTCGAGCTCGAGGTATACCAACCACATGAATATGCAGACATGTTTTGGTACCTGCAAATCTACGTCCGCACCAAGATTGGACATCTTGAGCGGATTCGACAATTTGCAGCCCTCAATACTAAGGTAGTCTCGAAAAACAAAAAGAAGAAGGGATATTCAGCAAATGCACAGCAACAAAAATCCTTGTCGTTGTTGAATTACTACCTACTTGAAGGATCGGCCATACAGGAGCTCGCTGGAGCCATGGTCAATGTATATACATGATTCCCTAATGTAAAACATGATAGCTAACATAACTTAGGTTTATGTTGCCCTGTCAAGGCTCACTTTGCTCAGAAAACCACCGCAGCCATATAGTTCTGATCATCTCCGCTATGAATTAAGGATGAAGCCGTTTTTCACTATAGGTTGCCCCGAAGTCGTCCCATATGATATATTCGCGACTTTAGTAGATAACCCACAAGTTGAAGTAAGCGTGGATCTGACCTATACACCTTATTCACCAGACCAAAGCTAAGCGTTTTTTCGTAGACATTGGAGCTCCTTGAACTCGCATCAGAATCGATTGCTCAAGCGCGCAAAGACTTTGATCAACTGGGAAAACTCGATGAGGAGACTTCCCGCACAGTACTATGCGAAGACGCTTTTAAGATCGTAGGTGTAACTTTCCAGCGATTTAGGATCGCAATGCTAATAATATATTCGATTAGAACAACCGCGAGATGCTTCGCTCTTGTATTGGTCTCAGTGTTGCAGTGGCTCAGATTACAAAGGCGTTGAAGTCTGCTGGGGGTGCAACTCAAGAATATTTGGAGGTTGAGATCGAAAGGGCTAAATATCATCCCTCTTTCCCGGTCCCGAGCATCAAGAATAAGGCTCCTATCAAGACGGCACCTATCAAGACAGAACCTATCGAGACGGACCCTAGCAAGACGGAGCCTAGCAAGACGGACCCTAGCAAGACGGAGCCTAGCAAGACGGAACCTAGCAAGACGGAACCGAGCAAGACCGAACCGAGTAAGACGGAGCCTAGAAAGAAGACACCTAAGAAGAAGGCAACCGGCAAGAAGAAGTAGAATGACGTTACTCCCACAGTCCTTCCCCTTATTATTTTGTTTTGTTTGTTTCTTTTCTCGCTTCTTCTTCTTAACATAGAGGTTTCTCGGGCAGTTTTCTAATATAAAATGGATCTCATCTCGAAAATCACTCACATCTTTTGCCTAATTGTGATTGATGTTTTAGAGTTTCGGATATAATTCAACCTATTTACAACTACCACATAAGGTATATTCATCTAAGGTATTCCACATCCTTTCGATAACTCGGACAAGAAGAAAGAAGAAAGTACGTCGAATTAGATGTCCTATACTTTATTTATAGCTTTGATTTCTTCGGTTCCTCTGCCAATGCTTCTTGGTACAAAGCATCGATCTGTTCCTTGAATGCCTTGGCAGCGGGCGGGCGTTTGAGTTTTAAACTATCCAAAATGAGCGTCATCAGCCATCAGTCGCAGTATAAACAGGTAATGAGTAAAAACTTACGTAGGTGTCAACAAATCATTCTCAATAGTGAAAGGGTCCAAGCAGAGGTGTACGTTCCGCACCCTCTCGAAACCTGTCATCTTATTCTTCTTAATGATTTTGTCCATCTCCCTTAGCACAGCCTTGCGAACTACGATATCTCCACATGCAGCAGTGACAGCCTCTGTATCCAGGGGCGCTATCGTCTTCTTAAGGACCTTTCCAGCAAATGTTGAGAAGTTTTCACGGTCCACGCCCATTACTGCCACTAGGAATGGCTGGAATGAGTCACCATGGACATAGGCTTGTTGGAAGATATTCATGCTGCCTAGGTAGGCGTTTTCGACCCTTTCCGGAGAAACATATTCGCCCTGTGCTAACTTGAGGAGGTTCTTCACACGGTCGATGATGCTAAATCTACCTAATTCATCAACTTTGCAAATATCGCCGGTTGCAAACCAGCCATCTGCATCTAGGACCTCAGCAGTCTTATCAGGAGCTTTGTAATAGCCTTTGAAGACCATCGGACCACGAGTAAGGAGCTCTCCGCGGGGGTAAGGTTTATCTTTTGAGGTGTAACCCATTTCAGGAACATCACGGAGAACGCATTCGGCGGCGAATGTAGGAGGGCCAACATTGCCGGCGCTGTTGTCTTGTGCAAGCTGCCCAAGAGTGACTGCATAGGTTTCCGTGAGACCGTAGCCTTCGATGAAATTATTCGAGAAAACGATCCGGAGGAACGATATAACGGATGGCGCAATGGGAGCACTTCCGCTCACGCAAGCACGAAGACGATCAAAACCGATTCCAGTGCGGACCTTGTTACCCCAGAGACGATCATAGAGGCCATGCTTGTTTGAGCCACATGATTTAAGATTTGCAAGTTTTGTGTCTACTGCTTTTCGAGACAGCGCACCTTTAACACCACCTTGTTCGATAGTTAAGGATTTGATGGCGCTGTTAAAGCGATTATAGAGACGAGGGACAGAGATGAAGGTATTGGGTCGGAGCGCTTTCAGATCATCAGTGAGCTCGAGAATGTTGCCATGCCAGTAGCCGATTGCACAGCCAGACCATAATTGTGCATGTTCCGTTACTCGGGCATATATATGTGCAAGTGGAAGATAAGAGAGGGAGAAATCGCCAGGCATTTGGTACATGGGCGATAGGTGCGCACATGAAGCAGCACAGACAGCATTCATGTGAGTTAGCAGTACACCTTTAGGGAAACCCGTGGTCCCCGAGGTGTAGTTGATTGTAATTGCATCATCAGGACTCGGGGGCGCAAATGGTTTGGGATGTTGCTGGCCAAGGAGCTCAACGTCGTAAATAGAGTATAGCTGAACACCTTCCTTTGCAGCCCATGCCCCAAGAAGGGCTTTCTTTGTGTTTCCTACTGGTTCGCCGTCTTCGAGGGGATCCATGGAAATTATAAATTTGAGTGTAGGAAGTCGTTCCTTTAGAGAGAGTAAGGTGGGGATATGATTCAGAGATGCGACTACGCAGTTAAGCTCAGAATGATTGATTATATACTCAGTAGCTGAAGGGCCTAGTGTATCGTAAATGCTCACAGTGTAGAGTGACTGTGACATTGCTGCTAGATCTGTGATCTGCCACTCTGGGCGATTGGCAGACCATATGCCAATACCGTATTTATCTATTGTAAGGCCCTGGTGTGCTTTGTTAGCTTGGTGTGTCTACAGGACCGTAGTTTAGCTTGGTGTAACAAGTGATGGCTTACTATTGACTGGTGTAAATGAACCAAACCAGCGCCAAAGTCCGTACGTCGCTTCTGAACAGTCTGATAATCCATCCACAGATACGGTCCCCAAACACCTGTCTTCTTATCCTGCTCACGCCATCCTAAACATTTATTGTCTGGCCATTTTCTGCTAGCTGCCTCGAAAGCTTCGAACATGGTTGTAATCTAGCAGATGTGAGAATCCATTGTTAACCAAGTATGGTGGGAAAGCTTTGATTTGCCGAGTTTCGTTTAAGTGGCATACAGCTGGAAAAAAGGTTCCCAACAGAGGATTAAGGGGTTCAATTAGATGACCATTCAGACTCTTACCTCAGGATCGATAGTTTTCAATAACTCTCCCTCAGCAGCTCTCCAGTGGCGATATACACCAGTCCTTCCATCTTTTTCAGAGCCAGGGATGATAACACCTTGAGGAACCCCTGGGGGAGGTTTCTCGATGCTATTCCGCGCCTTCTCGAGACATGGATCGTTGTACATTTTATTCCTTTGCTGTTACCAGTGGTGTAATGAGAGTGATATCTATATGTTTTGCAAAAGTTATACTGGTGTTGTGTTGAGCTTCCGGAATCCTTTGAGGATGTGGGAAGCGTGGAACTTTGGGTGTGGGGTGCATGGGCATTGGGCTATCATATGGTATTTATTTGATTTTTAACTGCTTCTTTCACGGCTGAGAACCGAGACCCGAGGGATGATGTATTGGCACACGCGGAGGGGGCATCGTCACATGCTAGCACTCGGGAAACCGTAGGCCGCACGCACCGTGGATGCAAGTTGCAACGCAAATTGTCCTGTGACCAGAAAGGAAAGGTCAACCAAGGAATTAAGGGAAAGGGTAAAAAATGAGGAAGCTTACCCCGGGGTTCAAGTCTTGGTTGTGGGGTTCGTTTTCAGTCTAAGTCAGTTTGGGTTTATATATTATTTTGAGAAGGATGAACGATTGATTTTGGTGAGGACGATTCTCAAATCTCTATGCAGTACAGTACTGTACTCTTAGATAACCAAAGAAATCTCGGATATCTATTTTGTCAACGGTGACACGGTCGGCGCGGATGGCGTTGGTCATTAACGACTCGTAGAGTAGACAGATGATACATGTAGATAACAGTTAACGGACTGGATTTAAGTTCTCACGCCTGGTTCCCATTTCCAGGTTCAGGTCATACACAGCGCTGGTACTCTATGGTGCATACATGATGGAGGCACATACCCGGTACACAGCGGGGGTTAACTCAACTCATGGACGGTACATAACTGCTCTGTTTCAGTAATTAAACCTCGGCTTCTTCGAATTGTTGGGATGTCTAGAGTAGAGAGCATCATATCTATTGGCAGCACGCTTTTGCTGAAATCCCTTTCTGTCTCACCTGTATGACACACATGCTTTTTGAACCTTCAGTGATTGTGTTAGGTTTAGGGCTGCAGCAATGAGGCTCTGCAACCTGCAGACGATTAACATCTCGAAATATTAAACATGTAGATACTCTATCTATGAACTCTGTTACAACCGAACCACTGACATCATCATATTGAAGTGTCCATCATGGAAGGTCTTCTTATACCTATGCGAACAACCTCAACTCCTCGAGATGAGCCTCTCATAACAATCTCCAAGCCTTCTCAAAGCGCTCCACCACAGTTAACGACTGTTCCTTCTCCAGCATCGCTATCAACACTTGACGATATACTGGCCACCCTGCGTTCAAAACCTTCCTCCGAAACTCTCTCACAGGTTCTTAACCTACTAGTTCCTAGTACTGACATAAATTCTTTTGATATCAGCACGCCCTCACCCAAAGCTTCGCAGGTCGTGAAAGCACTTCTCGAACTAACCGTCCCAGATTTCTGGAGCATTATCTCAAAATCTGGACGCTCAAAGTTAATATCATGTCTTCGATCCATTACAGGCCTGGGTGGTATCATTGCACGTCTAAGATTCCTCATTAAATCCACCGATTCACAGCCAGGTGTGAAGGGACAAATCGAGGAGCTCTTAGATTTACTACAGGGTATTCTAGGACAAAACGGGATTGTGCATGGAATATGGGTATCTGGCGGCGTTGGAGGAGATGGACAGAGGGGGGTTGTATGGAAGGAATTTGTTACATTGGCTGCAGGAGGGAAATTACTATCTATTGCGGCAGAAGGAGAGAATATACTTGGTAAGGGAGGTAGGGAGAGATGGGTAGGGGATGGAAAGCTGTATACGACGTGGCTAGGTAGAGAGATATCTAGAGCCAGTACAAAAATTGATAATGAGGAGGATGAGGAAGAGTGGAAGGCCTTGGCAGTATTACTGGGGAGAGGCTTTGGTTTAGGCTATTCTGGTACGTAATTTCCATTTTTTGAATATTGGTGTGATGAAGGTTTATACTAATAATTAACGTAGATGACCTAGTGGAATCCCTAACATACTACCATATTACCCTCAATACCCTCCCAAAACTTCATCGACTCCTTTCTCAGCTTCTATCTCATGAAAAACGCACGTATCTATCTTCCCTCTTGCGTATTCTCTCAAGAAAACATCTTTTCAATCCTCAACTTTTCCAAAGCCTCGAAGACCCTTCCGAAAACCCGACCGGACCAGACACCTTCGATGCTCAATGGTGGAAGTCCGACGCTCCTGTGGTCTCACAAATTGCAGCTCTTCTTAATATCATATTAGGTAGTGACACAACCTACCGTGATCTAGTAGTAGATTGGTTGGTTTCCAGTAATGGCGGCGGAGTAGGAGAGCCAATAGGTATAAGGAGAGCACTGGTCGCAGTATTGAATGAGGATCAGGATGTGCTCAAGGGTCTGCTAGAAAAAAGTATGATAATCTTTGGAGATAGTGTTTGGATCCGGCACACGCCGATTATGAGGCAGGAAGGTTTGTTCCTCTTTTTGCCCCATCACTATTAAGAAATATACTTATTTTCATGCCAACCCAGTAAATGTCCAGTTACTCCTTCTCCTTTCTGGATACGCGCATCGTCACCTCCCTCAATACCTACACCGTCTCGCTCGCTCTTCACCATTCCTGAATGGAGTATCGAACCGACTAGCTGCATCATCTATTCGCGCTAGGTTTTTAGGAATGATAGTTGGGGAGTCACTGTCAGGATTAACAGATAAAGATGGGAAGCCCATGGATTTTGGAGTGACAGAGACTGCAAGTGAGGAGGCGAGGTGGTGGAAAAGCATTGTTGGGATTCAAGATAGTGTCAGTGATGCCGGCGAAGTTATTAAATTGGTGCAAGGAGGAGAAATTGCTGTGAGAAAGAGAAAGCGGGACGCGGAGGTGAAGCCGAAAATACAGAGCAAGGTGATGGTGGTTGAGGAGGTCGAAAGTGAAGAGGAGGAGGAAGAGGACGACGAGTTCCAACCGTACCCAAAACCTGATTCAGATGCCGAAGACTCCGACGAGGACCCAACATTGATCAATCGCAAAAAGGATACGGCGCCAATGTAAGTAAATCTAAACCCTCCCTCGTTTACTTCCAATCATGAGATCTCACTCGTCTTTAGTTACATCCGTGACCTCCTCCTTTACCTGAGATCCACAGACTCCTACGACCGCCAGCTCCTCGCCCTTCAATCTTCTGCCGCATTGATTCGACGTAAAGCCAACTTTGGAAAGGAACTTTCTGACCATTGTTCAGAACTTGCGAGCCTTTTAACTGGCCTAAACGATAAATTCGAGATGGAAAACTTCCAAGAGATGCGAATGCAGGCGCTCATTGCACTCGTAGTTTCCTCACCCGTCTTAGTTGGTGGACTGCTTGCCCGTGGGTTCTTTGAAGGCGACTACTCGCTCGGTCAGCGCGCAGCAATGGCATCTGCTATCGGTATGGGGGCTAGGGAGCTAGCGGGCTGTGATGACGGAGACTTACCACTGAGTGTGGAAAGTGCTAAGGGGAAATCGGCAGAGTTATTCCCGTCGAAGATGCTACCCGGATTAATGCATAATCAGTGGATCAAAGGAAAACCTAATCCATTAGACAGGATTGCTGGCGGTATGGAGAAGATGATGATTTCCCCCATGGCAGCGGAGGCGGCAGATAAGGTGACCGGCCCGAATATACTCAAGGTTCGAACATTTAGTAGTCGAATCGAAGTAGAGAAGCGCCGAGTGAAGCCGGCGGAGAATAAGCTTGGAAAGGTAGTGGCCGAAGCATTTTTTTTCCCGTTGACGGGGAGGTGGTGGGGTGCGTTGAAGGATTTGTAAGTTTATATTCTATCATTTGTAACGATACGTGCTGACATAATTATAGTGGTGGCCGTGGAATCCACTTTGAGCCATTCCTATTGACTCTATTTCTCAAAACACTCTCTATAATACTCCACGCAACCGGCTCCTCTGCTGTTGCGCTTCCGCAGATGACCTCTGAGTTGTGGGATCTTTTGTTTTCTTTGCGGAACCATAGTTTCCCCACCTCAAATGACAGTAGTGTCCAAGAGGCCGTGCTCTTTGCACTTCTTACACTACTAGAAGTTAACACGTCGAATGACAACGGCCGTAGGCTAGCAGATGAACACGCAAAAGAGCTTCTGGAAACACAAGAGTGGGTTTCAGGAATCATGGAAAGTGGACAGTTGGGCGAGGAGGAGAAGGGAAGGATTTTGGCTGCGAGTGTGATAGTTAGGATCAGAGGAATTGTAGATGCCTATCAGAGGAGATTGATGGGAGAAATGTTAAGTTTGGAGGCGTAAATGTTACTTTTACCGTGAAGAATTTATCGATTTAATAAATTAATATCCATACTATATACTTTCTAAGTACACTGTTAATTCCGCCACATTGGGTCCGTAATGCTCCCTTTGTAGGTACAGCTTATATGCATTCAGAACTTTGCATTCCACATTCCATATATAAAAACATTCTCGTTACTCTCTTACCTTGCAAAGCAAGCCTTTAAAAGGCAGCGCTCTTTTCCTAGTCTCTCATATCATTAAATGAACAAGTCAACACACGACAATTCTTTTCTTGCATGGTTTAAGCAGCCTATTCACGAACTGCGATCCGGCCAGCCGCATGGGTTTGGATTTATGAAAGATGCCTATGCTATATCCATGAGTTAAAGATGTTACTTTTTATAACACGGCCATGGTGGGTAGGTTCTACATACCTCAATATTGCTCTTTCCGTAAGTAATCATTCATCTGTTCTCTCAACGATTATGGCTTCTTTCTGTATACTCCTAGCCTTACATCTTCTAAATCTTCCCGTACATCCTTAACCGTTATATCTTCGCCCTTTCTAGCTGCTTGTAGGTAATGAGGTGTCCAACCATTACAATCCTTTACTGTAGGGTCTGCTCCATACTGAAGAAGCAATTTGATCATTCTCCAATCTCCTATCCAGGCAGCCAAATGGAGAGGTGTAACTCCACTGGGAGATGCCTTCCTAACGTTATCCCCAAACTCTAACAGTAAAAGCACGGCGTTATCCAAGCCCTCTTTAGCTGCTACATGCAGTGCTGTGTCACCATTATCCGCTGCTATTGTAAAATCTGCGCCTTCTGCTAAAAGAAACCTTATTGCCGCATTGGAACCAGCACGGATAACATCGAATAGTAGTGTATATCCGTCCCTACGAACAAGATTGATATTTGCCCCGCGGTCCAGCAGAATTTTCGCCATGGTAAAGTTCTGATTCTTCATTGCAAAACTTAGTGCTGTGTATCCAAGCATGGTTTGTGCGTTAACATCGGCGCCGAAATCCAGCAACATTTCAACTGCCCAGGCCTTCCCTGCCCAAACTGCTCCATGTAATGTTGTTGATCCATCTGAGTACCCTCCATGAATATCCGCGCCACTATCTAGCAGAACTCCCGTCATCACCTTATCGTTTTTATTGATTGCCAAATGCAGTGGTTTCTCCTCGTTAGAAGTTTCTGCATTGATATTTGCGCCAGCATCCAGCAGCAGCACTACTATCCACTCTTGCCCCGCAATAACCGCCATGTGCAGCGGTGTGAATCCACCATCGCTCATCGCTTCAAGATCTGCTCCCTCATCAAGTAGAATCGAAACCATACCATGATCGCCTTCCGTGACAGCTTCATGTAATGTTCTTCGCGTTTTCTTATACTCTGGATCTATGCACGATGCTATCCTCATTTTTACTGCCAAAAGAAGTCTTCTCTCTCTTGAAAGACTCTCCCAATAACCGGGTCGAGTGTTTGGGTCTAGTTCTCCAGAATGGGTTTCATTTTCATCATACCCGGGGTCTGAAAATTGAGGTTTATAGCTTTGATGTCGCGGTTCCGTTGGGTTTACAGGCTGGCTCTTTGGCCGAGGAATATCATCATGATCCACACCAAGGAAGTTATTACCATGTTGGTCCCTTGGCTGAAAGGGTTGAAAGGGCCCCCTATGAATATTGTAATCACGGACCCCCGGAGGATCCTTGTTGTGAGGAGGGGATGGTGAGGGTGAATGAGAGTGGATGATAATTGGCGGCGGTTCATCCCAAGCGTTATTTTGTCTATCAGGAAGGTAATTAGGGGGTTGGTTCCTAAGGGGCTCTTCTTCTTCATCTGAGACATCTTCGATTGTTGTTTGTAGATTGCGGTTGCTCTGCTGCCAATCGTCTTCACGGACATATACGTCGAATGCGAATTTTTTAAAACCACTATCTTGGCTAACACCAAGTATTACACATAAATTTCATGTCTTTTCATTTCGGGGGTTGCCCTATACACATACCTCATTCCTACGGTCGGAGATTCCCGCATGCTTCTTGAGTCTTTGAATATGTTATTATTTCTCGAAATATGATATAATACTAGGACCCTCACCAGAACCCGAATATACCAGTGGATGTGATTTCCAGTTCTCATCCCATATGACTTCACAGTCACTCGCCTCCTCGTCATTGGGTCTATCAGGCTGAGGAGGGTTTCTACAGATTTCCCATTAGTTTTGTCAATATAAAATATTTAAATGCTGTCTGGCTTGGAGACAATACGTTAATCCAGCAGGAACATTTTCACCGCCTGATCCACATTTCCCCCCCTTTCCCTCCCATTTCTAACCCGTCTGCCTCTCATTCTCCTTTATTCTTTTTTGTTCTGTGCTATTTTTTTGGAGCGCCACCTGCTCTTCTTTCTTTTCTACGATTTCCTTCGCCACCTTCTCGATTTCCCTCGCCACCTTCTCGATTTCCCTCGCTAATCTCTTCTTGTCTTCTTCTATAATAAACCACTGGTCTTTAAGCGCTTCCTCCGCGTTTAATCCATCTTTTGGCTGCGGCATAACCAAGTTTTTGATAAACCTTATCGCAGCTAAGCTTATTTCCTTCTCTATCAATTCGTTTCCAGGAAATGGTATTCGGTGTTGAATATAATTTATAAGAGATTTTGTCTTCGGGAATGGCGGTCTTCCTGTAACCATTGTATGTATTAGGCAACCGAGGGACCATATATCAGCACTGCATGTGTAAATCGAGGTATCGCAGTCTAGAAACCCCCAAACCTCAGGGGCCATATAACTGCTCGTTCCCACTTGTGTTTGAAACGACGTGCCATCTACTGCTCTCTTTGAAACACCGAAGTCACTGATCTTAACCTTGATTGGTGACAGTGACGCCACACAAGAATGTTCTGTGGCTTTAAATCCCGATGACAAAACTTATTCCCGTGCATAATTTTTAAACCTTCGAGTAATTGCCTAGTTATATCGCTCGAGGTTCTCTCGGACATGGTTTGATTGGCAATAAGACGAGAGAGATCGCCAAATTTGACGTATTCCATGCTGAGGTAGATATTTTCGTTATTATCAAACCATCCGAAGAACTGCACAAAGTGTTCGTTATACTAGCGCTCTGTTAACATCATGTATCTTCAGCACCTTGGAATACTGGTGAGGGGAATATTTACTCCTTTCAGCTTGATTAGAGCCAATAATTCCCTGAAGTTCATTAAGATATGAGACCTGGGAATCTGCTTCACTGCTCTAAGGTCTCCATGTTCCTCCTCTTTTTCCAGCCATACTGTACCAACAGCACCATTTCCGAGTACACAGACTTTAGTCCATCTTTCAGTTCTTATCCCGCCTTTATAAACATAGCATGTTTCCAGTAGCCGTCGACGAATTCTGTGTTGAGCTTGAACTGGTCAAATTGGTAGAACCTGGAGTCGAAATCTGTCATTTGAAATTAAAGTTGGGACACGATGTTGCTGTGGAGACTCGAGAGGGACTTCACAGCTTGATTGTAGCCTCTATCCTCGTCGTACAAGCACAAGAGGCGCAGCTAGATGTTTATTGATCTACACTGATCCAGTCAGCAGCTGGTTTTAATAAAAATGAATGAGCCTTGTTATGAAGGGTTTCTACGCGCCAGCAAAGGCTTCTTTTTCTTGAAGAGCATCTAGACGAAGGGATGTAGAGGTACCTGTACCGGGTACTCTAATGCCTGATTTGGAACAGCTCTAGTTAAGGTGAAATGACAAAAATGCATCTTTCGATAACACGTTATTTCAGTTTAAACGTTTCCTAATCAAGATAGGTTCTATCTCGGCTATTGAATCTTGGCTGCTGATTTTCAGGTGTCTGTTCATTGGTCCACAACAACCCGAGTCACGTTTATCCAGATAACCATCCCAACATAAGGCTTTTGTCACTTCTGCGACAAGACCACTCCATTTGCTGACCACTTCAACAGCTCAGCAGCAGCATAACTACTAAAAGGGGACCCCGTCCCTTTCCAATATCACGACAACTTCTTGCTTCCCTTATAATTCACATATATATAATTGCAATGTCGATACCTCGAATTATCCTTCCGTCACTGACATCATTACGGTGCCTGGCCTCCTCTTCTACTACCATAACCTCTGTCGCCGCCTGCAGCACACACATATTCCGAGCATCTTATTCCTCAACAGGATCGTCAAAGAGACTACTCCAGACAGCAACCCATGGTCCTAGTCCCAACAGCCTTGACACCGAGCCTCCGCCACCACGGGGCGCCGGCGTAGGCTCCTGTTTAACGAACCCGGGCAACGAGCACTTGCCCTTGTCGCCTCCTCCAGCGCCACAAGTACCGGCAGGGTCGACACAATCACTGTTCTCCGCATTCACAGATCCCAAGAATACCACTGCATCCACATCTGCCTCACAACCAACGGCTGCGGCAAAGACTAGCACAGCGACAACAAGGACAAAGTTTCGCCCTCGCAAAGCGGCGATGACTTTGACATCGCCGGCGGTGCAGCAATTGAGGAACCTTCTTACATTACCGGAACCGAAACTAATACGGGTTGGGGTGAAGAATAAGGGTTGTTCGGGATTGGCCTATCACCTGGAGTATGTGGACAAGCCGGGAAAATTCGATGAGGAAGTGGTGCAAGAAGATGTGAGGGTTTTGATTGATAGTAAGGCGCTGTTTAGCATCATTGGGAGTGAGATGGATTGGGTTGAGGATAAACTGAGCTCAAGATTTGTGTTCAGAAACCCGAACATCAGTATGTCTTCCTTACCCTTCCCCATTACCGGTCCCGGTTTCAGAGCATTTACTAATTGGAGATTAGAGGATCAATGTGGTTGTGGAGAGAGCTTCTCGGTCGGCTAAATCGCAGAATATTCTACCATATGTTGAGGGTAAGGAGTAAGGATAGAGTAGTTAGTAAATCGTGGTTTTAATCAGGACTCGCCTAAGGCTAGTCATCGAGCTGTAGTATAGCATAGACATTAGAGGTGCAGGGCAAGACCCTGCATTATAGATCAGGTACAGGCCCGTATTTAGCTGGGTCCTTGGTTGCCTGGCCTAACTCTCTTCACTTTAATAAATAGATAAGTTTGAAAAAAAGAAAAAAAAAGTGACCCTCCACTTTTCGCATTGGGTTGGTATTGTACAGTGGTAGCTCCAGTTCTCTTGCTGGTTAATCTTATCCTTTTAAGACCTTCAGAGATGTCCAATCTTGTAAATACTATTATCCTGTCACTTGACACATCAGAGAAAACCAAAAGTATGCTATCAACTACGACCGATTGAATTTGACTATTTGCGAGTCCTCTTTAACCTCTGCCTCTCTGTTGTCCTCTGGCACGAATAACCGTAGCTCTTCCTCTTGCCAGTCCAACACCACGTCCTCTAACAGCTCTGGAGCGGAACATTGGTGCGTTCCTATACACGTTTTCAAAGTATTAGTAGATGATAAACTCACGCAAATTGCCTATTTCTTCCGCTTTGTCGGTTGGTGGGGTGTAGACAAACCTCAACATATCCGGCACGATAAAAAATCTAACGTGAGAACCACGAATATAGACCTGGTCAAGATGGGACACACGTCCATCACGTGCGGTAACAGTGATATCCTTGAGTTGGACGTTCATATTGTCCTCGGCTACATTTACACTCTATCATTAGCTATCTGCGCGCTTCATATGGATCGATTGACGAGACAAGAGGAGCATAGCGGGTGGATATAACACACCTTCGATGAGCTTCCCACGGAAGATCTGTCCGGAGGTGAGTTCAAGGGTGCAGACATGGCCCTAGATTCTCATCATATGAAGTTAGAGTACAGTTCGCGATCTAAGGTGCTGGGGATGTGTGTGTTGGCCCACCTGAGCCTCATTCAGCAACTTTATCGGAATTCCAATGCTGCCCATAGCTGTGATTTGATGTCTGTAAGAAAACCGGAAGTCGTTTCGGAAGGAGCAGAGGCGGGCTGGTGAGTACGGGGGTCGTTAATAGTGGGCGTAGTAGGGTTGATGATGGTTGGTTGGTAGTGGTGTTGATGTTGGGAGTCTAACTAGTCTACTAGTCTACTAGCAGTGAACTCGACACTGGCAAGGGTTTAGGTTGTGCACTGCAACTTAAGGAGTCAACCTGCAACCTCAAAAAACCCCGCCACCGTAACGAGAATCCTGGGAAATAGGAACAAAATGGTCACAACTGAGCTGGAAAATGGTGTACGGGCTCTCGAACTCGAGGCGATCCAGAAATGTAAGCGGTGTAAGGAAATCGACGCTCTAGTGATTGTGAGACAGGAAAGTTTATGCAGGTTCGTTCCTTATTCTCGTCGCGGAACATTTCACTCTTTAGTGAAGTTGCGAAATTCCACAAAGCATCGCCTTTCTGTTCACAACTTTCTGAAAAAATGATAGGCCCAATATTTTTTAAAAAAAAGCTAATTTCTTCATAGTGAATGCTTCGACAAGTATGTCCGTTCAAAATATATCAAACGCATGGAATCTTTTCGAGTCCGCTACGCTCCCAACGATACCGGCGTCATAGTGCCCACCAAAACCATTCTCCTTGTCCCTCTCTCCTTAGGAGTTTCCTCTATCGCTCTCCTAAATCTCATTTCCAACCAACTTAAAGCTCAGCGCCAAAGATCTAACGGCCAAACCGGTTATAACTGTCTGGTAATCCACGTCGACGAAAGCTGTGTAGACCCCTCGGTACCACCCCAGGAAAGCATCAACGCCGTACAAGAGCGATTTTCCGGCATTGGGACCTTTAGAGCGGTAAATATTGAGGATATCTATGATTTCCGGAATGTGGCAAGGGAGGTAGAGCTGGATCACGGGGTGGACGATGAGAAGGGTAGTAGTGATACTTTTGACAAGAAAGAGGCGCTGATGCACTTACTATCTTCACTGCCATCAACGACCTCGAGAATGGACATATTATCGATCCTACGAACACGGTTAGTCGTAGAAATTGCTAAAAAGGAGGGATGTGCAGCGGTTTTATGGGGCGATTCGACGACTAGGCTGGCTCAGAAAACCTTGGCCGAAACGGCAAAGGGAAGAGGGTTTTCAATACCATGGCAGACTGCAGATGGGGATTCTCCATTTGGTATGTACCCACTTTATACACAAAGTTATGGCTCAGCATGGCTCTAATTTAATCGATAATGATTAGGTATTGAGTTTCGATATCCAGTCCGTGACCTCCTCAAGAACGAACTCGTAAACTACGTCTCTATCCCTCTCCCAACCTCACCAAAACCATTACTACCTCTCTGTGTAGCCTACTCGTCGGATGCAAAACATACAGCAGCTAATGCCGCAAGTGGACGGAACATTACGATCGACGAGCTTATGATTCAGTATTTTGATGGCATTGAGACGCAGTACCCTTCTATTGTGGCGAATGTTGTCAGTACTGCGGGAAAACTTAAGCCACTACGAAGGCCGGCAGATATCGATGTAAGCTGCAAGATATGTGGGCTACCTGGAGATGGTGCGGGGGGGGATATTACTTTGAGCGCGCTCACGCTGAATGCAGTGACCGACTTAGACGCAAAGAGTAGCATGTGTTACGGATGTGCAAGGGCTATGCATGGTGCAGGCGCCTATGATTGGCCGTTAGAGCCTTAATGGCAGGCTTATGGAATAATAGACTTTCCCACCAATCTTCAAATATCACTCGACACCTAAACACCGCCTTATTTGAACCTGAAATTTTGTAATGCGATAGAAGAAAAAAAACAGCCAACTCCAAGCGAGGTTTTGATTAGAGCAAAAGAAAAATGGCGTATGATTCATTCCCTAATCTACAACCCTTTCCCAAAGAAACCCCAAATCCACCCAGCGCCCCATGAGTCTTTTTTTATTTCTAGATCTCATGAAACGTGTCGTAGAAAAAAAAAAAGAAGATTGACAACCAACACTCTCCCGCAAAAGAAAATGGAAATTTTTTTGTATGTTGAGGCGAAACGTCTATTTCAGCTTCTTCTTGGGGCGAAGCTGGTTGGTGTGACCACATTTCTTCTTACGGCAGTTGGTAGCCCTGGGAGGCAGACGAGCCTGTTGAGGAAACGGTTAGTTGGCTGTGATGGTGGGGATAAAGAAGAGAGACGTACGTAGCACTTGCGGCAAATCATCTTCTCACAGTTGTACTTGGAGGCAAGGGCCTTCAAGGAAGGCTCAATGATACCTCCACGGAGACGGAGGACCAAGTGGAGGGTAGACTCCTAAACAGTTCCAAATACCCAATCAGCAACCGGCACCCCATAATCAATCCATCACTCAATGCCCTCCAATCCATGAGTGTCGTAATATGGTGTAATATCTTGCCGTACCTTCTGGATATTGTAGTCCGAAAGAGTCCTTCCATCCTCAAGCTGCTTTCCGGCGAAGATCAAACGCTGTTGGTCTGGGGGAATTCCCTCCTTGTCCTCTGCTGGGTGTCAGCCCACATATCCAGGATTGCTGGTATTTCCACCCGCGCAAGTAGGAGGAGATAACGTACGGATCTTGGACTTGACATTGTCGATGGTGTCTGAGGACTCGACCTCAAGGGTGATGGTCTTACCCGTCAAAGTCTTGACGAAGCTAAATCACCAAATTCCGTCAGTTCGCTGTTGGAGTGGCGGTGATCTCGTTTCTGCGGCAAGAACTCACATTTGCACTGCAACCCGTGGGAAAACACAAGGTTAGCATTTTCCATAAACATGATGTCTCTCTACAGATGATACGTACTCTTTGCTGTATTTCTCGTTGGTTGGTCGGTGGGTGAATTATCGCTACCTTGCAAACAACAGCCTGGAGTGAAGTCGAGATGTTGGAGCTGTTGGGAGTGTGCTGCCCACAAATGGAAGCAGTCACAAGTGGCGCCGCGGGGTGTGGTGTGGCTGTCGTGCGCAGTTACCCTGTCTTGGAATATGGCCAGTCGGAATCTTCCGATGCATGCGCGGGTTATTATGACGTTAAAACCGAGCTACATATCACCGCACCTGTCGAGCAGGCGTAAATTACATTTAGGTAGAGAATGACCAAAAATATCAAAAGGATCCAATTTAATCTCTCCAACATTATTAAACTAGTTACTCGAAGAAATCATGCTAGGTGTGATCTTCTGAGAATACTGTGCTGTAGGGTTTCTACAAACCAAAGATCGATGATGCACTGTAGTTAGATTCGGGCCCTTTGGGAGACGGCGACATTTGAAGATACTAACTAGAATACTCGAAACCTACCATTTCGTGAATTCTTTTATATCGTATTTTAAGCAAAAAGTACTTTATAAAGTCATCATCTATCATGACCGAAAGATGTCTTGGGAGCGTGCAGCCCTCGATGTCCAATTCCAAAAAATTTCTTTTATAATGTTCGATCTCCCCTTATTGGGTGCCCCTGTTAAGTTCAGGATTGTCAGGGTCCAGGGTCCAGGCAAGACAATTAGAGACCCAGAATTCGCTGGTACTGAGACCAACCAACCAATAGGTTGTGCTTTTTTTTTTTAGAGCCCAATGCCAGGCTACAGTCTCACACTACCTATATCAATATAATGAGCGCTAGAATACAAGTAACGTATCCTATACCTACATCTCAGATGCCTTATACACATGCTTCGGAAACTGCTTCACCAGAAGCAATTGACCTCAACTAAACAATAAAGAGGATCCCCGAGTTACCAGCCAACAAAAAAACCAAACGGACATCCAGATCTCTATGATATCTTTGATATTGTCTGTATACACAATGCCATGTCGTCACGTTCCGCAGTAAGTAAGCAGAACTTCCCCAGTAAATACACATACCCATTCCGTACTGCGTCTACTTAAGGTGTACCGGAGTCTCGCCTTTAGGAACACCAGGAATAACTTTCTCAAGTTTCTATGCAGCTGTCAGTAGGTATGAATAGAGTATGGGTGAGCCGCTAAGTATGTTTACGCACCAAGTTGTCGAACACACACTTGTTGTAGGGCTTCTCCTGTGCCCTGCAGTGGAATAACCTATGGTTGTTGTTCTCAAGGCACTCCCAGTGAGCTCGGAACTCCTTGAGGCAGTATTTATTGATGTCCGCGAGACTGCCACCCCCATCGCACATGAGTCGCAAGTCCATGTCTAGAGGAAGAGGTATACATACACCGATGATGCACACCGAGTGACCTTCCTACCCTCCTTCAAGCACTCGACCTCTCCCTTTCCCCCGGCCTCGTGCTTGCAAAGGATGTAGTCCTCATTGTAATCCTTACACCTGGCGCCGATGAAGTAGGAACTACTCAGCAATGGGGCCGATGTTGCGCCAACTTCCTGGACTGGCGGGATTGAAGTAGGAAGGGGGGTCTTGTCAATCAAGACCGACTGATTAAACCTATGCACACGAATTGTCAGATCACCCTCCATTCATACGTTCACTGCTCACCCCACAGGAAGAGAGAAAAAACCTACTGCGGGTGTCGTGAACCGGACATATTGTATAATTCGGCAGTGAGAAGAGCGGAGAGTTGACCAGTCAAGCTATGAAATGCTACCCAATTGCTATCCTATCTGATAGGATAAACATCCGTCAGTTTGGCGGGGGGACCATCTTGGCACCCACTACCGTTACTCAGCAGCGACCGATTGGTTGTTCTGACAACACGCTCAACGCCAGACCCCAGCCCCTCGTCGTAAACAGCCAAAGTGAAAGTCCATCCTCCACTCGCCAACGCGTCGTGAAAAGCATCAGCCCGGTTTCTCCTGAGCATTCTACATCTAGTTGCTGCTTGTACGCTACCGGAGGACTATTGCTCATCGCTCGCCCAGGACAAAGAAGGCACATCACCGACTACTACACGACAATTGCGAAAGTCATTCATTCATACGAATAGCTAGCGCATAGATCTACTACATCTTCAAATGTTCGGCTCAACATTTGGCCAACAGGCCACACAGCAACAGCAGCCCCAATCTAGCGGTGGCGGTCTGTTCGGATCAACTCAGCAGCAGCCTGCGCAGTCCGGCGGTGGTCTATTCGGCGGTCAGCAACAACAAACTAACACAGGCGGTGGTGGACTCTTCGGCGGCCAGCAACAACAGAATCAAGCGCCTTCAGGAGGTCTTTTTGGGCAGCAGCAGCCGCAACAGCAACAGGGCGGTGGTCTCTTCGGTGGGCAGCAACAACAGAAACCCGCTGGCTCCCTGTTCGGGGCGGCACCGGCGACCGGTGGTGGGCTTTTCGGCGGTCAGCAACAACAACAACCGCAAAACACCCAAGGTGGTGGTTTGTTCGGGAACCTTGGACAAAGTACGGCTAACACCGGTGGTGGACTATTTGGTCAGACCCAGCAGGGGCAGCAGCAGCAAAGTGGAGGTGGACTTTTCGGTGGACAACAGGGAGGTGGGGGACTATTCGGGAATCAACAACAGCAACAACTGCCACAACAGGGAGGCGGTGGACTCTTTGGTGGTATGCAGCAGCAGCAACAAGGACAGCAACCAGGAGGTCTTTACGGTCTCGCACAGAGTGGAGGTATCTTTGCGGGACAGCAGCCCGGTAATTCTTTGTTTGGTGGGAACCAGCAGGGCGCTATGGGAGGGCTATATGGGGTTGGTGCGAACCAGAACTCGATGATGATGCAGTCGCAGCTACAACAAGGTGGATACTCATCTCATCTCATAACTTTGGGACTATGGCTTACTATCATAATTGTATAGGCCCGAACGTAATCGTTGAAAAGATCCAAAGGGTCAAGAATGCCTGGGATCCTAACCACCCAGAATATGCATTCAAATACTATCTCTACAACCAGGTCGGCGAAGATCGTGCAGTTCACTACGTCAAGCCGCCTAATGAAGACCTGGCAGAATGGGAGAAAGCCTGGGCGGAAAGACCAAACAAGGGGTATGCTTCTGTTCCGTGTTCTCGTTTTCGTCTCTCTAATAGCGTACAGTTCTGTGCCCGTTTTAGCAAATGGGTTTCTCGACCTCGACAAGCGTGTGAAGATTCAAGAAAACCAAGTCAACGTATTTCGTCATCGCCTCCACGAGATTCAATCCAAGCTCACTGCCCTCCAAAGTCGCCATGACCTTGTCACAAGTATTAAGCAAGAAGACTGCCGCCGTCGGCACATCGCTCTTGCTCGCAGAGCGCTCTCCCTTGCTGCAAAAGTCCAGGTTCTCAAGAACCGGGGATACGCGTTACAGCCCGATGAAGAGCTGCTGAAAAAGCGACTCGAAGGCCTGGCAAGACAGGTCGGAGATCCTGCGGTTAGAGGCAGAGTTAATGAGATCTGGGCAAGGATGATGGTTGTTAGTGAGCAGGCGAGAAAGATGGAGGAGAGCGTAGGAAAGGTAGAGATTGTTTGGGATCAGAAGCAGTTAGAGACGGCTGGAAGGGTAAGTGCCAATGCCACACTGGCCTTTGAGCGGTTGTGCTAACGAAAATTTGTGTATAGCTCTTGTTAAGCAATGCGAACGGCTTAGAACATCTCAGCAAAGAGGTTAAGGAAATCGAAAAATCATTCGCTGCGTGGGAGGAGGAGCAAAAGACTCGTCCCAGGGGGTTCTAGAGAAAGGAAAAGGAAAAAGTTAGGGTTGTAGACATATCCGATTAATTCTTTTATTTTCCCCTATTACTTGTTTCTTTTCTCTTGAATGTAATTTCTATGTGGATTTGTTTGATTGGTGGAGTTTGGTTTTTGAAACTATCGATTCCACACATGTTTTCTCTTTATATCCTTTTGATGGTTTGCTACATGTATTTTCTGCCGAAGGGGAGGAGATTTCAATGTGGTGTATGCTTGTACGATAACGTAGGTGATAGGGGTCCACTCCCCAAAAAACTAAGATTTCACGTTGGCTCTATGTGTCTATCTCCATAGTATATGCAATTATAAGGGACTTGTAAGAATTGGTAGGAGGTGAGAAACGCTAGTAATATACACCAAGAGTAGGCACGTCAACAGCAGTCACTAACCAGCTAATCCAGCGTCTATACGGTCGTTTCTTTGTTCATATATCGTACAATTATGTCCATGGAATCCCCATGCCCTGATGACCTCCACTTAGATCATGGAGGATACGAACTCCTTGGCGTACCCGGCAAAGAAGGGAGCTACATGACAGAACACAGACCAATTAACTCAAGCTCCTGGGAAATATATACGAAAGAGCAAGTAGGGTGCATACAAAGGTAGAGGACTAGGCAAGTTCCGAGAACGACCTGGATGCTTTTCTTAGCCGCGAGCTCTTGATCTCTGACTTCTTCGGCGGACGGTGGTGGGGGGCCAGCTATGTTTTCACCCAGTCGTTAGTCTAAGTTTACCTGCGTACCAGTAATTGGATCAATTAATCACCTCCAAACATATTTGCAATAAGTTTTGGTTTTTGTTTGTGCGGGGAGAGTAGCGTAGAAATTTATTTTGCACTCGAGAGATGTGACGACGTTCACTTTTTTGAGAGATGCGCGGCGGTGACGTTCCGATGCACCGCGACTCCAACAGGGTTACTTTTACAGGGGTAAGAATAAAGAGAAGCATAGCCGCCATGGTTACCCGGAGACAGATGGGCGCACAGCGACAGACACCTGAAGCTCCTCAACACAGCCGTCCTCGCTCCATTTAAATGTAACTGAGTTTTCGCTTTCAAACAGTGGAATACCCAGCTTTCTTCTTCACCTCTACACATTCACGTCAAAGAAAAGCTCCACGACTATCCCCCAAAATGTCTGAAACCGAGCATCCTCAGTTCGCCCCACCCCCTGAAGATGAGATTATTCCAGCTCACGAAAAAGACCTTGATTCGGACGGCGACTCAGTTCTCTCCGACGTCGATGAGGACGTTTTCAACGAATTCGATGAGAAAGTTATCGGAACAGAACACGTGATCCCCATCGATGAGGAAACTGTTCACGCGATCGGAAAACACAAGATCAAAAGAACGGGCGGCGAGACCGCATCTACCGGCAAGAAGAAAGAAAAGCGCAGGCGCGATATTGCCAAAAGACGACGTGATGATGATGAGGATGATGCTGGCCCATCGATCAGAAGGGCAGCTCCGGAAGTGGAGCTGACACCTGCTGAAAGTAAGTAGTTCGACACTTGAGTCCCCCTTGAATATAGATCTAACAGTGCGCTATAGAGGCAAGGAAGGAGCTGGACGACAAGATTAATGCCGCTCTCAAGGGCCCGAAGAAGAAGAAGAAGAAGGACGATGTTGATCTCGAAGTCTTCAACGATGACCTTATCCTGACGCTAAAGGAACGTATGCGGGAAGCCGCAGAAGCAGATCAAAACGCAATCAGGAATGGGTCCCCTGCAGTGCATAAACTTGCCATGCTAGAGGAAGTTCGAGATGTTCTTCAGCGCCCGAACCTTATGGCTACAGCGATGGATAACAATTTCCTTGAGGCCATTAAATGGTGGCTCGAGCCGCTCCCTAATAAGGCGCTTCCGGCGTACAGCATTCAGAAGCTCATGTTTGAGATCATGGGCAAGATCAAGATGACTACTGACTATCTCCGTGAGAGCGGAGTGGGCAAGGTTGTCATGTTTTATACAAAGGACAAGAGGCCACAGCTTCACATCAAGCGTGAAGCTGATAGGCTCATCGGGGAATGGTCGCGACCGATCCTGGGCCGCAGTGATGATTACCACTCTCGTGAAATTCCAGTTGCGGGCAGAGAGTATGTTCGCCCAATTTTCCAACTCCCTCTGATAATAGTTGCTGACCCCCATTCAGCCATGGTTTTGCTCCACGTCCCCGCCAACGTCCTGATGAGGAAGAACACAACCCCCTCGCCCCTCCCCAGCGCAATCAGAATCGCACTCGTGTGCCTCAGGCTATGCCACGATCCTATGAGATTGCTCCGCAGAACAGAGTTGTGTCAGGCCCCAATCCATATGCAAAGCAGATGGGTTCGGCGGGTGATGACATGATCCGCAGAATGAAGGCTAAGAGACAAGCCCAAAACAAAGGGAAGAAGAGTGGTATGATCATTGGATAGACGGTTTACATGTCAGGGCGGGCGTTCAAGTGGTGATTAAATTTGATTTAATTTCTCTCTTTTTTCTTTTTCTCTCTTTTTTTTTCCTTTTCTTTTTTGGCTATAATGTTTACTTCTGTTCTGTATTTTTTTATTGGCTTTTTCCGCGCTTGGCCAATTTTTCTTCAATAGGACGCTCAATGGTGGCTTTTATAAAAAGCATCTCCATGATTGCATAAATAACCCTCAATGGTAGCATCCAACCCAAGATATACCTTCCATCACAAGTGAAGCCATCAGCACCTACCAATCATCTGGCGACCCTGGGTTACCGGAACCTTTTAATTGCCCCGCAATTTGTACCTACAAATTCTTTTCGGAAAGTTGGCCTTTAAAATGGGCTTAGCAGTTGGCAGAGAATCCCCAATTCATAATTAATTCCAGGAGAAGGCTCTTTATATTTCAGGGGTGCGCATTACAGATGCTATCACACTTTTGATAACCCCGAGGGAGAGCCCTCGGCGGGATATTTGATATCTCTGGCCTGGACGTATAGAGCTATTTTGGGCTGTCAGTACGAGGATAAGGACCATTCTTCCCTTGCCGAACACCGATCTTCAGTAACCTCATTACAAGACTCCTTTTCTCAAGCTAGGCTCCTGAGAATTGTTTATAGCAGCCCTTTGTTAACGTTGAAGATAAACCTGAAAATCATCGTAAGTCATAGAGTTATCTATCCCAATTCAGTGTCCACACATCATCACTCTCCGCCATGTGGCTGCCAATTTTGATATCTAATGAAACACAATGATGTTTTGTCTTTCTGAGTGTGTACAATCCCAACCCGTCTCCATCTATAATCTCCCAAGCCCAAATATTGCCGTATACGCACACGATGGTACTAGTTTATACTACCCCATCTATTTCATCGCGGCCTGGAGAGCCTCGAGCACCTCAATCTCAATCTTGGCCTCGGCGATGTCCTGCTCACTTCCAGAACCACTGGCAACCTTGTTAGCCTCAGCCAACTGAGCGCGGATGGCCTCAGCGCTGAAGTCCTCCATAGGGTAAGCCTCAACAGCGTTGACGCTCAACTGAGAGTCTGGCTGGACAACAGCAAATCCTCCGGAAACTGGTGATTGGGTCAATCAAGTATATCTTCAAGGCATATCGCTGGGAGACGTACGGAAGAACTGCTTGCTGCCGGCGGCGCCCTCCTCGATGATCTCCATGAGACCGGGTCGGAGCTGCTCAATGGATGGGACGTGATTGGCAAGAATACCCATGTCACCGGATTCGGCGGGAATGTTGACCTGGACGCTGTGATGTCGAATAATCATCAGCATTCGATTCCTATACCACTTTTTCGCCCTTCCTCCATTTCTCTATTGTTGTTCCTCCCCGACATTTTTTGCCCCGGTTCAACCCGTTGTTCTATATAACACCCCACCTCATCTCGGAAACAAAATGCGGGGAGCAAAATCACGAAGCACCGCAATTGAGGGAACGTACACATCTGAAGCCTTGTAGATAGTCTATCCATACCACACCTCATTAGCCATTGATTCCTGATATCTAAAGGTTCAATATTCAAACCCACCTGGTGCGGTAGCGTCAGTGACAACCGGATCTTATCAGCCGGTCCTGCAGCATCGGCATAGGTCCTGACAAAAGACCTGGTGGGCCTCGCGCGAATCGCAAGTCTGCTGACGGCTCGGAAGGTGTTCATTTTGTAAGATCGGAGGAGCGGAGTGGAGGGGGGGGTAGTCGGTAAGTTCGAGTAATGTAGTTGTGAGAGGTTGTTTCGGGTGAGGGCGATTGTGCCGGGCTTCTGGATTATTCTGCCAAGAAATTTTTCTTCGGCAACCGTGAGAAAGGTACAAAAACGCCCATCTCATCCGTCATCCCCACGACGAAAAAATATACACTTCCCCCCATCGCAGACTCGAATTCCTCTCGGAAAATCATTCACCATTAATTCATAAAATTGACCTTTAATTGGACCTTATAAACCTTCGCAATGGTAATGATTTTGCCCTCTACCCCACTAGCAATCCTCGTTGTTACTAACCAAATAACCCCACTACGTGCAGGCCACCTCTCTCCGTTCCATCAAGTCTCTTGCTCCTCTCCTCGACCGTATCTTGGTCCAGCGCATCAAGGCCGAGGCGAAGACCGCCTCAGGAATCTTCCTCCCCGAGTCCACCGTCGAGAAACTCTCTGAGGCCAAGGTCCTCGCTGTCGGCCCCGGTGGCTTCGACAAGGAGGGAAAGAGACTCGAGGTCTCAGTCAAACCTGGTGACCGTGTCTTGATCCCCCAGGTAGGACTCTTTTGATATCCTGGTTCGTATTTAAGTGCGTGGAGCTGATAATTGTGCAGTACGGTGGAAGCCCAGTCAAGGTCGGAGAGGAGGAGTACACCCTCTTCAGGGATCATGAGTATGTCTTCTTCCCATTTTTCGCCGCCTTTCTCCAATCCGAATGTCTATATCACAACGCGGTGCTAACATAGCTGTCACTCTCACAGGCTCTTGGCCAAGATCAACGAATAAACAAGCAAATCCGTGTAATGTAAAACCCAACTTTAAAAAAATAATCGGAGTTCTAGCATTGTGTCGTGTTCGTTTATTTTTTGTGTTTTTTTCAATAACATTCTTTGTACCTATTTAAAACCACCCTCCCGAAAACCATCCTGTGTGCATACATGTATGCTGCAAGTGTGGGTGAGTAGGGGTTGTACGGAATCTAGGGCTCAATAAAAGATCTCTACTCTACTTCTGTGCTGAAGCGGATTTTACTTGTCATGGAGTATCTGAAGGGGACTGCTAGCCGTGGTTTGCGAGATAAGCTGGTGATGACGTCTTAATATTCTATGGCCCAGTACGGATATGGTGTTATTATAAGGATTTAGCCTGTGGCTGGTGTCGACTACTAATTCGACCCCATTTGGATGCGGTACTAAATGACTAAATGCTCACTGTGGTAAGAGAAGATAAGATCTAGAGGTCTTCGGCTTAACGAACACTTCGGTTTTTGAGGAAACTCTATTCAGTCGCCAGAAATCACCCCTTCATGACCACCACCACCACCACCATACAGATAAATAGAGCTAAAGATTGTTAGACTTGTGAACAAGTTGTTATACTACATTATGAGCTACACAGAAAAGAAAGCATGCAGTATCTGCAGAGATAAAAGACGAAAATATTTGGACGAGTGATATGCTATGAAGGAGCGCATAGAAGCACTTTGATATTTGTAAGCATGTATTGGACCTATGTAGAAGAATGCTAAAGTATAAAATTAGTTTGCTCACGATAAGGTGAATCTCTGCAATATATCCTGTCTAAAATTATTACATCACTCAAAAAGAGGAAAGAAGAAGAGGAAGAGGAAGAAGGAGATCAGAGAGGGGGAGTCATTGAGGTCTTCGTTGCTCTACCCAAGCCTCGAATATAAATCTTGGATATACTCCATTTCTTCCTTCAACTCTTATAATATAAGCAACACACGGTAAAAAAATACAGTAACATTTAGTTATTTTTGGCCCAACAACTAAAAAGAAAACCCGACCGAGAGCAGCGGGCCCTTCGGAATTCAGCTATTGGTAGTAATGCTCGTTGCGAGCACTACTACCAATAGCATGAATCCGCCCAGGATTTCCTTATGTAAAGGGCGATCGAAAGATCGTTTGCCCTTATCATCTCAACGAGTAGATGAAGGTCCTGGTTTAATCTAAGAATGTAGGTATGTTTATTAGTACACCTATCTAATTAGTGAGTAGAACAGAATAATGAAAGAGAGGATATAAACTAACCCACAGAGAGTGGGTCCGTCTCGCCTTCCCGGAGCACGAAAGTCCTCGTTTCTAATAACACAGGTTTTATCAGTAACACGTTACAATTAACTAACACGATAAATTTCGAAACGAAAGAGGGACAATTATAAACTCACCAAAGAAACCCACAAGAACCCTCCAATAACCTGGTAGACACCCCAAGGCCGATGGAAAATGCAGCTGCGGAACCGATGCCGGAGCCAATGCTCGGGTTTAGAGCACCCGGGGACCAATATACCGGGTTTGAAACACCTGTAACTGATCCCCCCCCCGAATTATGACCCTTCGGATGTCAAGTTTGTAAACGTGGCAGACACCCTATAACCGATAATTTGTCGGCATCTGGAAGGCCGAGCCCAATAGTGCGTCGGTATATGCGGTCACCGAACCCCATAGGGCGTCGGTATATGCGACGACCGAGCCCCATAGGGCGTCGGTGTATGCAGAGTGGCCTTCTCTGCGGAAAGAGGGGGAGGGGTTAGAGATCTAGATCTGCGATGAAAACAATTTGTTAGACTTGTTTTTATATTTGAAGACGATATGAGTAGTTGAGTGATAGAAAAATACAAAAGGAGTAGAACTCATAAATCAATTAGTAGGTACTCATAAAGAAAGATGGGTATAATAATTAATCAGTTGATCAAAAATCAACGAAACCGGTAGGAAATTATCAAGAAATTCGTAGAAAATCATCAAAGGAATCATAAGGGAAATCAATAGCGAATCATCAAAGAAATCAATAATAAATCATCAGAAAATCAATAGTATACCATCAACGAAACCAGCAGTAATTGACACAACTCATCAGAAGAAAAGAATCCAATAACTTACTCTCCAAGAGAATCTTCAAAGTTTCCGGTTAACCTCCAGATGATTACCTCTTCGTGCTTCTTTGGGCAGCACCGGCACTGACACCAGCCATAGGCTGATTGGAAAATATTGAAGCCGGTACTGCACCGGAGAAACAGAGAGATCAAATCCTCCTTTCCCGAGGTGTTTGTGCCATTGAAACGGCTTTTAATATACCAATTAATAAATCCTGCTGGAGAAGCAGTTTGGAGATAAAATAAAAAGGAAAACACCGAAAGAACAGATGAGATATTCTTCTGGTGGATATGGATCGAGTATGAAGGAAGAAGAGGGGAAAGGTCACTCCGTGATGACGGAATTTAGGCCCTTTTATGTAAGTCCTACCAGCAAAAGATACGCTGAGAGTGAGTACTTATTGTAATTGTTAGTAATGACCATTTTGGCTAGGCCCTTTTACTATTAATCCCTACAGTTGTGGAGCTAGCCGCGCTTAGTGACGGAGCGAATAACTACTACCCTACGTAAGCTATCGATTCTACACTTCGCTCACCCGTTCTCACTTTACGTGACCAGTCACCAGTTCTTGTTCAGCGTTTGAGTTTATATACGAGGCTTCTTCAGCATTCAACTACTTCATATCCACTATCAACATGGTGGTTTTGGCTCTGGCTCTGCTCGCCTCTGCGGCAGTTGTACGCGCGACTCCTATCGAAAAGTCGCAGAAACAATTACCACTGGTGATATGGCACGGTCTCGGTACTAGACAGAACATCTCCAATCTATACCTCCAAACCCAGCTAACAATCATGAACCTCAGGCGACACCTATGATTCCGAAGGCATAACCTCCGTCGGCGAGCTAGCCAACGAAGTTGTTCCCCCACCTCTGTCTCCCCCAAACACGCCACTAACAAGCGCAGACAAACCCCGGCACCTTCGTTCACTCCGTCTACCTAGACGAAGACCCCTCGTCTGACCGCTCCGCAAGCTTCTTCGGCCTCGTAAACACCCAGCTGGCGACAGTATGTGACCAGCTCGCCTCCGTCCCCGAGCTCGCCGGCGGCTTCAACGCGATCGGGTTTTCCCAGGGCGGTCAGTTCTTGCGCGGCTATGTCGAGCGCTGTAATAACCCGCCTGTGCGGACGCTCCTTACGTTTGGCTCGCAGCACAATGGTATCGCGGACTTTTTGGGCGAGTGTAAGCCAACGGACTTTGTGTGTAAGTCTGCGTCATCACTGTTGAGATCCAGCAAATGGACCCCGTGGGTACAGTATAAGGTTGTGCCTGCGCAGTACTTCAGGGACCCTGAGGACCTAGGCCCGTATCTAGAAAGGTCGGCGTTCTTGGCGGACATCAACAACGAGAGGGATGGGAAGAGGAATGAGACTTATAGGGAGAACTTGGCTGGGCTGGAGAGGTTTGTGATGATCATGTTTGAGGAGGACGTGACTGTGGTGCCAAAGGAGAGCGCGTGGTTCGCCGAGGTGAACCGCACGAGTGGAGAGATAACGTTGTTGGAGAATAGGGACATCTACAAGGAGGATTGGATCGGGCTGAAGAGCCTGGGTAAAAAGGGCAAGTTGGAGTATTTGAAGATACCAGGCAGACACATGGAGCTGAGCGATGGGGGACTCAAAGCGCTCTTTAAGGTTTATCTGGGGCCAGGTGGGAAGCTTAATGCAGAGGATCAACATTCTGGAGGGGAGCTTTGAGTAGTTACTTATGCTTTTTATTTCTTTTAATCGTTGCGTGTATGATTTAATTAGTTAGTACGGGACTGGAATACCAAACGCGAGTGACAATCCATGCATGCATCACTCCACGATCCCCGTTAGCTGGTTGTTGCGTCGAGTTGCCTCGGCCCAGCAGCCAAGACGTTCCCTGCCCAGCCCAAGCCCAGCCGTTATCATTACCCCTGACACCAGAACGGGTATCGGGTGAGCAGTTACCCGACTTGAGTAATCAGGCCCTGGCTGCCACACAAGCTCTCCTTTTCCCTTTTTCCACGTACGGTTTTTTTCCCTTTCCCTAAACCGTAGATACCAAGCTCACGAACCACTTGGGGAAAGAAAGGGAAATAAAAGAAGGTCTCAGAAGAACTCGAAAAATCTCACAATGGATATCCACGAAGCCTACCAGCTCCTCAACTCCACCGCCGGCCAGCTCTCAACCCGCTTCCAGCAGGTCCCGGGCTCGGCGATCCTCCTCCGATACATCAAAAGCTCATACCAGAACGACCCCGTCCGCAGCGTCGTCGAATTGGGGCTCTTCCTGTTCGCGGTGCGATACCTGCTTGCGCCGCGCTACAGCACGAACAAGTCCAAGGCCGCAGACCTAACTGAAGAGGTACGGAATTTCATTGTTCACAGTCCGGAGAGCTACAGAGGCTAACCACCACGTGTCACATAGGAAATCGACGAGCTCGTTCAAGACTGGACGCCCGAGCCGCTCGTCGCCCACCCCACCGAGCTCGAGGCCGCCGAGAACGAGAAGCGCCCCGTCATCGTCGGCCCCACGGGCCCCAAGGTCAAGCTCGCCAACGGCCGCACAGTGAACAATTATGCGTCGTTCAATTTCTTCAACTTCGTTTCAAACGAGATCTTGAAGGAGCGCGCTATCCAGATATTGCGTAACTACGGTGCCGGTGCTTGTGGACCTCCAAACTTTTACGGGACCCAGGATGTGCACATGGATACCGAGCGTGACATTGCAAACTTCCTCGGCGTGCCGAGTTGCATTGTATATGCGCAGGCATTCTCGACGATTAGCAGTATGATCCCGGCGTTTGCCAAGAGGGGTGATATCATTGTTGCGGATAAGGCGGTCAACTACTCGATACAGAAGGGGCTCGATATCTCTAGGAGTACCGTGAGGTGGTTTGAACATAATGATTTGGAGGATTTGGAGAGAGTGCTGCAGAAGGTACAAAAGGAGATGGCGAAGAAGCCGTTGACGAGACGCTTTATTGTGACCGAAGGTCTCTTTGAGACTACCGGGGATATGGTCGACTTGCCTAAGATCGTAAGTTTCCATAATACAACCTTAAAAAGTATACTTATTAACACAATTACAGATCGAGCTCAAGCAACGCTACAAATACCGTCTCATCCTTGACGAATCCCACTCATTCGGCACCCTCGGCCGCACCGGCCGCGGTATCACCGAGCACCTCAACGTTGACCCTCTCTCCGTCGACATGCTCGTTGGCTCACTCTCACACTCCATCTGCGCCGGTGGTGGCTTCTGCGCCGGCTCCCACGAGATCATTGAGCACCAGCGTATCTCTAGCTCTGCCTACGTCTTCAGCGCCGCTCTTCCCGCCATTCTTGCCGTCACCGCTAGTGAGACCATCAAGCTCCTGGAGAACAACCCGGATGTCCTGTCAGTCCTCAGAGAGAACATCAAGGCCTTCAGGGCCGTGATGGACCGCAGCGAGTATGTCAGGTGCACCAGCGACATTGAGAACCCTGTCTGCATGTTCACGTTGAAGAAGGAGATCTGCGGAAGTATTGCAGACCAGGAGAGATTGATGATTGATATTGTCGACGAGGTATGTTTTGTGTCTTCCCTTAACCCTGAGGATTGAGTGCTGATATGTGATGCAAAAACAGGCGGTTGCCAACGGGGTCCTCATCTCCCGTGTCAAGAACGTCCCTGAGAAGAACAGCGCCCGCGTCGTATGGAAGCACGAAGCGGCTTTCAAGGCTTGCATCAGCATTGGCCATACCAAGAAAGAAACAGAGAAGGCTGCGGCCGTTGTCAAGGCTGCTGTCTCAAAGGTTGTGACAAGAGTCAAGAAGGAGAATGCTAGCAGGTTCCTCTCATAGAGCTGCTTGTCGAGGCGTAGGACAGGCAGATTGATGATAGACGTTGTGGGGTTGCGGCGCCAGGGTAAAATGGCGTACTTATTAAATTACTACTACGTTGTTAATGAGTGGGATTTGGGTTTTGCGTTTCTTCTTTTTTTTTTGCGGGTTTTTATTATAAAGAAAAACTTTAGTGTATTATTGCTTGGGTGAGAGAGGTATGAGTTGATGATGGATGGACTGGGCTTCTTGTAATTCATAATGGACGGACTATTGTTGATATTGGCTCTTATAGAATATGTTATGGGTTATGTTTTGGCTTTGTATGTTTTTTTCTGCTGCCTAAGGGTGAATAGTAGATGGCTGAATGTTGTTGTGTGTATTGTTATGTCTGGTTGAAGTTTAAACTGCTGCTTGTCAATAATATGGACTTGCAATTGCGGTGCTTTGGAAGTAGTGCTGTAGTAGGTTTAGGTATATGTGGCCCAAGTTCTGCAGTGTTGAAAAAACCGCGGTTTCGTCATCGATATAGTACTATTCCCCCATCCAGCGGCGCCACATGCGAGTGATATCCCATGACGGAACCAACCCAAAACATAGAATAGAGCCAGATACCCCCGTCACTTTTTAACTCTAATCCCAGACTCCTCGCGCACCTCATACTTTGCACTCTAATCCATCCTCCATCAAAGTTCCATCCACTACTTTTCATCACTCGAAATGTTCTCCCAAGCAGCTCGCCACCTGCTGTTACGCTGCGCCTCTGCGGTCAAGGTCAATGTCAAGGTACCTGCTAGAGCTCATTCCACATTTAACCATCGGGCTTTCGTCCGCCGCGGTATGTACACTTACCCCTTCCCCGAGCCCGCTGGGGAGGAGAGGGTGAAGGCGTACTTCTTGGATACTAGGGCTGTAGGTTCCCACCCATCCACCTATTCACTCTGCGGACAAGGCTGACTGGTGGTACCCCAGGGCATCGGCGAGCTCATCTACCAGGTCGAGATTCTCAAGGCCGTAAGTCCCCCTCTACCCTCGGCATGGACCAGTATACTAGCGATAGAGCAGAGACAGAAGAGACAAGAGATTCTGCTGTGGATATGTGTTGTGTCAAGCTCCGTCATTGTACGTATGCCCCTATTGCTGCTGTAGGGGATTGTGAATGTGGTTGCTGACGTGAGATGTGTGAAGGCCGCCGTGTTTGTGTATATTGCTTTAGATAATGAGCTGGATCCGCCGGCAAAGGAGTTGAAGCAGAAGCAGAAGGAGAAGTAGAGGGTGTTGCTTGAATGTGAGTTACGGGGTTTTATGGTGTCGATTTTTTTCTTCTTTCGTGTAGAGTTTTTTCCCCTTGCTTTTTAGAGAGTAGAGTCTTGGACAGAGGAAAGACTGCGAGGAGGCTTAATAATGATACTGTAATGGCACATATTTGATCCACGGGGCTTGTTTCTTTTGCTTTCATGAAAGTGGAGTGGGGGTGATTAGAAGTGAAAAAGCTCATGAAAAGTCAAGGCGGGGCGGAGGGGTCTTCTACATCTATATCCTTGCTACAAAGATTGGGCTAGGTTTGTTTCGTCTGTTTATAGTAAAAAATCTGGCTCTAGAGTCCTCCTACTAGTACAAACGACCTGTAGCAAGATGCTGTGATCGTTTCCATCATGTATTATCACTCGATTTTGGACCTCGTATGCACACTCTAGGATTCGCCTCTACCGCCCCCAGTACGCCTGAAAGATTCTAAACAATACGAAGAATACTGTGATAGTTTATGCATCAGCTACTGTCACCTTAAAACACGTCAAAAGCCCATTGTCTTCAGTTGCCTGATTAAGTTAGCGCATTATGAAATCCTAATGTGGTTAGTATGACTAGGTGTCAATGACAGCCTATCTCCGGATATGGGTTTCTGTCACATCCATCCTGATACTGATATGTAGATCTGAAGCTTAATTTTTATTTTGAGTCTGTACCTCGGGGAGCGAGTCCCCCTTCCTAACAAACAAAAGATTATGTACTAGTCTTCTTGACCTCTCGTTCACTTCTCTTCGAACCCAAATCAATGTGTTGCTAGAATTTTAAATCACAAGACAGGAAGAAACTTTTCGAATCAAAAAACAATAAAAGAAAAATATAGTTACAGCGTAGCCATTACCAATTCTCAACATTCCCTCCTCCTACGCCGAGCCTACAGCTTCTTCGCCTTCAGTTTCTTAGCCTCCTTCACACTCGCATCCAGGCCCTTATCCAGTACATCGACCACCCGCTTTCTCTTCATCTGCTCTTTAACAGAAGCATCTACGAGCTTCTCCGTACTCTTCGTTATTTTCTCCTCCGCTGGTTTCTTCTCCTCCTTACGCTTACCAGCCTCGGCCTCTTCATCCGCGGGCGGAAGGGTAGCCTTCCTTTGTTGGTTCTCCTTCTTTCTCTGCGCCCTTTCCTTGTTCTTTGCGGCTTGTTTATCCTGTTTCGCGAGAAACTTCTGGTCCTTTGCGGCGGCCGCCTCCGCCGAAAGCACATCATCCTCATCGAAGAGTTGCGGCGTCATCCATATCGGCAGTGCCGCCGAGCTGGGCGACTTGATATGGATACTCCTTGCCCCGCGCCATCCACCAGGGAGCTTCTTCTTCTCCAACGCGGCATTCACGACCGCCTGGACGTTCTCGGTGACCTGCTCGCCCGTGAAGGTACTCAGCGCGACCCTGATGCCTGTGTTTGCGCTGGGGGTCAAATGGATCATTGTTGAGCTAAGGGCCTTCTCGATCTTCCTCTTGAGTTTCTCGGCGTTGTTTGGAGGGGTTTCGATGGCGATGGGGACCTTGGTGGTGTGCTGGAAGAAGGTCTTTCCGAGAATCGGGGGGAGCATGCGGACGATGCTGTCATCGGCGAGGAAGAGATCGTGGGAGTCGCGGAGGAGACGGAGAGATTCGAAGGACTTGAACTTGGCGCGCAGTTTGCTGATTCCGATGACGCGGGTGACGGTGGAGGAGAGACCGGCGGCGTCGATGAGGTCTTTGAAGGTGCGCTGGGGGTCTTTGACAATTAGGCAGACGGTGGTGGTGGTTAGATCATGAATGGAGTGGGGGAGGGGACTGCGCGCAAGATGTTAGTGGTTGAGAAGTCGGGAATTCCGGCGTAGACGTAGTTTGCTCGTCATTGGCAAAAGGGGAAGGTGAGTGAAATAGAGTAAAGAAGTAGCGGGGGGAGTCTAACATTTGGATAGGCTTCAACCTTCTAACGTCAGTACTGAACTTCTTAGTTGTGAGGTTCAACCAAATCGCCTGGACGCGTTCATTTGAGTCTTCGTCATCTTTAAGCAAGTTTTTTTTGGCGCTTTTGTCTTCCCTGCTTCCGACGAATTTTATGAGTGCATTGGAAGCTTTGAGGACCTAATTCCGTCGTCGTTAGCTAAAAAAAAAAAAAAATTTGCGCCAAAATTGAAGAGAAAAATTACCTGCTCCTTGTTCAATTGGTAGGGAGTGTCACTAGGAACGATTACTACTGTCTCGGTTTTTTTGACCACTTCGGTTTTTTTGACCTCGGGTGTGGCCTCATCGGACTTGGACGCAGCTTTCGTTACAGTTGTTGAAGGTTTTGATTGAGGCATTGTGGAGTTTTTCGTTATGCTGCTGGTTGGTGAAGAAAAAAGCAGTTCACCTAAAGAAAAGTTCAATTTCCTGCCCCGCCAGTCTAGGGTAATTGATTTTAAACGGTTACCCTGTCGTGAGGCTCTTGAGAGTATCATGGGATCTCACTCGCCGCATTCTTGGCGAATAATCCTTGCCAAAACACGAAGCGTAGAAAGCCAATTTACGCGCTTCAACGCGTTTTCCCAACTTCAACTATCCGCGAAAAGAAAATACCACGATATAGGAAAAACGAATAATACCAATTGAGCTTCAACACCGGACCAAAAGCACCACAGCTATGACTACCCAGCCTCGTGTCATTCCACGATATGCTCGTGCGTCCTCTTCCAGTCTGGGAGCTCCAGCAAGCCATGCTAACAGACCTCAGACACCGCCGGACCCACGTCGATGACCTATTCCCCTGACGGGAAATATCTAATCACCGTCGGTAACAATGAAGTTATCCGAAAGTACACTGTAGCCTCCGAGGATGAACCGGCAACAATTGAGCAGTCGCAAGACGGAAAGACAGCCGTCGTGGCTTCCGATGACCATTTTGTCGTCTCAGCAGAAGATGGTACCGTCTCCATGTTCTCAATGGCAACAAATACGTTCACAAAGCTACTTGTACGGACAAGTTTACCGCCAAGAGACCTCTCAATGTCGCCGGATGGTCTCTTGGTCGCTGTTGCGAGCGATGAGACGGTGGTTAAGGTTGTGAATTTGGAAGACAACCAGAGGGTTATGAACCTTCGCGGGCAAAAGAACTCAGCCAAACATGTAGCTTTTCATCCGTCGGGGAACTATCTTGCTGTGTCGGGAGTTGATGGGACGATATACATCTATTCTCTGTCTACGGAGGAGCCGGAGTTGGTCAAAAAGATTGATGGGATTATCAGCGCACTAAAAGAAGATTCGGAGTCTAGCTCAAAGGTCGCTTGGCATCCGGATGGGCGAGCATTTCTCGCGCAAACACCCACTAGGGAGCTAGTGGTTGTGGATAGGACCAACTGGGAGAAACACAGGGTCTTTGCTAATGGACACAACGGAGATATCACTGACTATGCATGGTCTCCTAACGGTGCTTTTCTCGCTTCCGCTGGCAGAGACGGAAAGCTATTAATTTGGGAGTCTAAAACCCAAACAATAATCTCAAGGTTCCTCTCCCCCGAACAAGTCTCAAAATATCTCGTATTAACGATTTCTGTAGATGGGACTACAAAAATATTCTCAGCCTCGCATGGCATCCTACCGAAAACACCATCTCCTTTACGACCTCACAAGGACAACTTTATACTCTCCCCAACCCTGTACCCACCGACCAAGGATGGCTGTTAAACCTATCCGTCCGTCCTGCACCTCTTATCAACGATACTGGCATCAACAGCCGCCCGACCGTTCTACCAACCCGTTCCAAACCTCCGGCCCAACTTCACCGTGAGCGTAGCCCCTCCCAGGACTCACTAGATGACCTCCTCCCCGACGACCTTGACGACTTCATTGAAGATGATGATGGTGCAGGCTACGTCGAGGTCAACAAAAACAACAAGCGCCGCGCCTCCGATTTACCCCTCGGGGGCCTTCTGATTGGTAAACGCCGGGCTTATGGAACCGAGCCCTGGGCGCCTGAAACCCATGAGAGTTTCCAACCGGGAAGCACGCCATGGAAGGGCATGCGCAGGTATCTGTGCCTAAATCTCGTAGGTTTTGTGTGGACTGTTGACCAGGAAACGCACCACACTGTCACTGTTGAATTCTATGACCGCGAGGTCTACAGAGACTTCCATTTCACAGACCCTTTCCTATACGACAAAGCGTGTTTGAATGAGGGCGGATCACTATTTTCTTGCAAGCCAAAGGATGGTAATGGGGCTATGATCTATTATCGCCCACATGAGAGCTGGACCACGAAAGGCGATTGGAGAACTAGTATGCCGAAGGGAGAGGACATTATAAGTATTGCGCTGAGCGATAGTTATATCGTAGTTTGCACATCCGTGGGGTATGTTAGAGTCTTTACACTTTTCGGCGTCCCATTCCGCGTGTGGAGACAAAAACATACTCCGGTTGTCACGTGCGCCTCGTGGAGGGATTATGTGATTGTTATGGGGAATGGAGCGGTTGGGCCCGATGGGAGGACAAAACTTGTCTATACCATTGAGAATGTCAAGCGAGATAAGACGCTGCAAAGCGAGGATATCGTTGCCCTCCCTGCTGAGGGGGGTATCAGAAGTGTTTTCTTCTCAGATAATGGGGTGGGTTAGGGTATTTTTCCCTGTGAGTGATGGACTGTGATGCTAACGGGTTGTGGGTGGTTAGGATCCTTGTGTTTACGATTCTGATGGCGTCTTGTTAGTTTGTTTGCATTGGAGGAAACGGGGGAGGGCGAAATGGGTCCCCCTACTGGATACTAGACTGTTGGATCGTCTGGCCACTGGGATGAAGCAGGAGAGTTATTGGCCTGTTGCGGTGGCACAGAACAAGTTCCATTGTATCATTCTCAAGGTATTTACCTTTTTCACCACTAATCCACAGGCATATATCATTCATTTTTGGTGCTAATGGTATATACTACAGGGAGGTGAAAAATACCCATACTTCCCCCGACCTCTTCTTTCCGAATTCGAATTTTCTATCCCACTTACTTCCACGGCTCCCTCGGCGGCCGAGGCACCAAAATCAGACGTACTGGAGGAAACATTCGTCCGCGAATCCGTACTGCACTCGCTGCAAGAGGATTTCGCAGCCTACACGACTACCACTGCGGACGAGGAGCGTGAACTGGCCAAGCGGGAAAACATTATTGATAAAACGCTGCTGCAGCTTGTAGCGATGGAGTGTCAAGATGACGACCGCGGCGCAAAAGCACTCGAGATCTGTGGTCTTTTTAGGCAGAAGAGGACTCTGGAGCTGGCTGTGAAGGTTGCAGTTAGGTATGGAAAGCTGGTTTTGGCTGAGAAGATTGGGGAGCTGAGGGGTAATATGGAGATGGATCTTGACGTATGAGCAAGGTGAAGGGTGGTTTGGACAAATTATTTCTTTTTCTTAATAAGGAGTGTGGGGAGTGGGTACTGGGTTAGACATCATGCAGATTTCATGACATCTGCGATTGCCTTTGCGGCAATCTTACGGCGTTCTTCTTTTGATACTTCTTCGCCCATATCTAGATCGTAAATGTAGTTGTTAGTATATCAATAGGTTCTTTATAGATTAATAGATCCGATTACTGGGCGGTGGTAAGGCAATACCTTTCAACGCCGCCATCCTCATCATCATAGCCTCCAGTTTCTCCACCTGCAGCTCCTCATCCTCATCCTCCCCCTCCCCATCCTCATCCGGGAAGATAGCACTATGGAGCCCAAACATCTCCCTCTCCATCTCATCCCCCACCAACTTCAACGGGTCCACCCCCTCCTCCCCATCCTCAAACGACCCAAAACTCGCCGCATCATCGTCGTCGCCACCCCAATCATTGGCCTCAAGCGCCTCATGCACGCGCTCCATCCCCGCCGGCTCGCCGTAGTCGTTCCGCCCCTTGAACTCGTAGTCAACATACTCAAACCCATACTCGCGACACAGGTCCTCCCAGTCGTCAACCGGCTTCTCCAGCACGGGCCTTAGGCTCTGCGGCATCGCGACCGCAAGACACACCCCGTCCCACGCATACCCGCACGCCCTGACCACGCGCTGCAGCGCCGCCAGAAGCTTCTTGATCGCCTCCTGTACACCATATCAACACACTGCTCCTCTACCCTCAACACCACACCTGCGTAGAGGGGAATATGTTACCAAACCAGCTTCATCCTGCGGCCGCAGGAACGTGATGATGAACCCGCCGAGCGCCTTCAGCACCTCCTTCGCCTCGGGCGCCAGGTAGCCGCTCGCCCACTCGTCCTCGGCCGACGGCGTGATCTCGTCGATCCATATGGGGACGGTGGCGTCGTAGTAGGCGGTCTGGATGTGGAGTGTGTGGGATGCGCCGGCGGGGAAGTCGGTGGTGAGGGCTGGGAGGGTGCCTGTTAGAGCTGCTTAGAGGTTAGTTGTGCTGCTGGGATAGTGAGGGGGAGGGGGCAGGGGCGGGGGGAGGTACTTTTGAGGAAGACGAGCTGGTCGGAGTCGGGAGTGCCGACGAGGAGGATGCGCCGTGGGTTGGAGATTTGGAGCTTGGTGGCCATGGTTGGTGGGGGGAGGGGTGGTGCTGGAGCTTTGGTGGGGTTGATGCAGGCAGGGCGGGTTGTAGGTAGGGGTTGGGTTACACAGATGGGCGGTTTGGGTATGCTAGATGCTGTCAATTGGGGTTGAGATAGCGGGGTCTGTAGGCTTGAAGATATGTAGTAATACTGGTCGCGAGATTTCGTTGAACCATTGCTTTTGGGTAGTGTATTCCCCCAGCCAGTTTGAGAGGGTTGATAACTGGGAGATCCGGGTTGGGGCGGTTGAGAGCCTGTTATTAAGGTAGAAATACAGTTTGCATCTGAAGGGAAATCAAGACTTTCCCGCCCGAATTCGTTTGAATAAGAGAGAGAACAGGCTTTCGTATTTAGAGGACGAGAATTAATGGTAGAGTATATTCAAAGAAGTAAAGAATACACTTTTGACAAAACTGTATTTTGGCATTAACTTGAGTTAAATAACATGCGTAGTTTGAAATTGGAGGCTAGAAACAAGTTAAAACACGAAAACTTGAAGTTGAAAAGTCTGGTCCTGCCCTAAAAGTACTAGCTGATAGGGGAGACTTGACAGTTCACTTTAAGTTAAAAGAATGTTAATCTGTGATTAGATTTCAGAAAAGAATCCTGAATTTTAAAACACTCAAAGATAATGATGGATGCAAAGTGTATTCCCAATAGCTGCAAGTAGTGTGAGCCAATGTTTATGGGATTAAAATAAAATACATTATTTTAATTGTTTTGCAATCATTTGCACTAGTAATTTATTGAAACACTTTAAGAATAGTTTTAAAAATAAAGTATGTTTGTTTCAGTAATCTAACAATACACTATTGTTATTTTTGTAAAAGTGTATTTCAAAAGTGTATTCAAAAGTTTATGCCAAAAGTGTATTATTATCTAAGTGTATTTGAGTGTATTTCTTAAGTTTTATATGTTACACCAAAGATCAAAACACAAACCAACCCAAAATACACCTTTCAAAACGGTTATGAACAGAATGTTAATTATTTTTACACAAGAAAAATAACACTTCTAGTATACAAGCAATTTCATTTCAAACATTCTACTCATTTCACTCACTTCCTATTATTAATTTTTTGCCTTTTTTTTTTTCTTCTCCTTTTACCACACTGTATGATTGTATGATAAGGGAAAAGCTTATGTAATATAATACCTTAAAGTAGTTTTTTTTGAAAAAGGAAAAAAAAAAAAAAAAAAAAAAGAGAACCTTGTAAGAAAAAAGAAAAAGAAAAAGAATTAGATAGGATATAGTTGCGCCCTCCCGCTCGCTTAGATGCTAGTGATGCTGTATGGTTTTTTTTTTTTTTTTTTTTCAAAAAAAAAAGGACTGGATTGGCTCAAAAAGGTGGATGCATGGATGGATGGCTGTAAAAAAAAAAGGTTGTGGATATATATATAATGCTGAAGCAGAAGAAGAAGAAGGTTAAAAACAGCTTGGCTGGCGGAAAAAAAAAAGGTAGTAATTGAAAGTTGCTTGCTTCAGGGTGCTTAAGGGTGGTGTCAGGGTGATTAGGGGAGAAGGCGCTTGTGAATTTGATATTGGTTGTAACAGGAACAGGCTATTTGATATGTTAGTACAGCGCTCATCACTGTGCAACGCGGTTGCGGTTGCGCTTGCGGTGCTAGAATCATGGGATGTGATTCGGGGGCTTTTTTTTTTTTTTTTGGGGGGGGGGGGGGGGGTGGTGCGGCCAATACAGCGAAAGCTTGCTTGCTTGCTTGCTACTACAAGGGTACGCTCGCGCCAGAGCTTAAGCTTTGTACCGCCGAATATCCTACGAGCGGGAATACCCTGATAGCTAGACCCGTGCCCAGGCCTATTTGATGTTCGGCATCAAGATAGGTCTGGGAACGAGATTACCTCATGTCAGGTCTCGCACCCAGAGCTGTTTTCGATTCGAAGCCTTTGTGGCCTCCATGAAAAAACAGGTCTGGGAACGAGACTGCCTTACAGCAGGCTTTCGTCGCACAAATATAGCAATCTTCTGCCATATAGCAAGCTTCCGCTGCCTTATCCGCACCCAAAAGATCCAACACACCAACAACACAAACTCACCATCAAGCCCTCCCCCCCCTCCCCTCCTTCTCCTTCCTCCTCCTCTCCTTCTCCCTCATCACCCCATACCTCTCCGTCGCCCAAACATACCTCGGGTTCTCCGGATCCCTCACAATCAACCCCCCCGCCACCATCTCCCTCCCCAGCAGCACGCCACTCTCCTCCTCCTCCTCCCCACCGTCCACCGCCGCCGCCGCCGCCGCCGCGGGCACCCCCGCCCGCCGCCCATTCCAGCTGCTCCACCGCATATTCTCATCATTATCCGGATTCATCAGCGCGCGGTCCTCGCTCCAGTCCGTCACAATCTCGGGCACAGGCCCGCCCTCCTCGCCCTCCGTCGAGAAGAGCGTCGCGCGCCCGCTCGCCTCGCCGACAAGCAGGGCGTCCCACGACGGGCTGAAGGCCGCGGTCATGATCTGGCTCTCGACGGCGGCGACGTCGACGAGGAAGGGGGCGGCGCGCGTGGGGTCCCACTGCTTGATCTTGCCGTCGGAGCCGCCGGTGAAGAGCGTGCTGTTGTGGGGCGACCAGGTGATGAATGTGACGCCCGTGTCGTCCTCGGCGAGGTTGGTCTGCGCCGAGGTGGGCATTGTGGTGGCGCCGTGTTGGAGGGAGTGCAAGGGGGTCGAGGGGTTGCGGATGTCCCAGAGGAGGGTGTTGTTGGTTGTGCCTGAGGAGGTGAGGTAGCGCTCGCAGGGCCTGTAAGGTTCTTGTTAGTACAGCGGGCTTCTAAAAAGGCGGCGGCGGCGGCGGCGGCGGAGAGAATGCTCACGAAATGGTAACGCAGTTTAAGTCCGCCTGGTCACTGATGCACTCTACGACCTCGCTCATGGTGTTCAGATCCCACAGCCTGACAATCGAGCCACCAATCCTCCCCGGTCTGAGACTCCCAGTAACAAACCTCCCGCGTTGCCCCATCCGCACATCAAAGTGTCTCTGCGGGTGCTTGATATGGCCCCAATACTTGAAGAGATTCACCTCCCTCTCGACATCCCAGACGGCGAGTCCACCGCTCTTGCTGTTCCCTTCATTATCATAGCCCACCACGAGGAAGTTCTCGAACCCGGCGCCGCCCCAGGCCATCGCCGCGGGGTAGACCTTGTTCTTGTTCGCCTTATCGAAGAGGTTAAGATTCCTGACCGAATCATGAGTGCCAGACCCATTGATCTGTATGACCGACACCGCCCCCTTCGACCTCCCCGCCGCCACCAACCCATCGACCGCCGCACTCGTCTCCATCACCACAACCTGGTCGTCGAAGCCCACCTCACCCAGCCACCTCCCATCCCCCGCGCTCCACGTCTTGACACACCCATCGAGCCCACAACTATGCAGCATGCCGCCATCATTACTGAACCGGATCGACGGCACACTCGTATACTCGTACCGCTCGAAGAAGCCGCCGGCCGTCGGCCGCACCCGCAGCGCATGCCGGTACAGCATGCGCACGCGCGGCAGCGGCGGCGGCCCCCCCGCACTGTTGAACCCCAGCATGAGGTTGCCGGGGCGGTTATACTGGTCGCTCGTGCACGGCGTGCTCATTGCGAAGCGCGCGCCGTCGGGCGTCCACTGCGCGTCGTGGATGTCGCTGCTGCCGCCGTTGAAGGCCCACACGGGCCGCAGGCGCGCCATGGCCCAGTTGTGGCGCGCCTGCATGTCGCGCAGCGGGTCGAGGTCTGTTGTGCCGAGCTCGCGCCGCAGGGCGCGCATGCTGTTGTTCTTTGTGTTGGTGGGGCTGCGGAAGGGGGGCAGGCGCGTGGCGGCGACCATGATTGCGGGGTCGCGCAGGTCGGGGACGGTGTTGTAGGCGTCCCAGATGAAGCGCTGGATGTCGCCGGGTTGGCGGCCGGGGAGCGTGAAGTTTGTGGTGGTGAGGAAGAGGTTGATTAGGGCCTTTGTGTCGTTGTCGTTGCTGAAGGTGTACGTGAGGAGGCTGTAGAGATCGCGAACGAGCTGGTCCGGGGGCGGGGTGGGGTTGGCGCTGAAGTTGGGGAGGCGGATCTTGTTCTGCAGGGCGTATTCGCGGACGGCGGGGATGAGTTTCCGGATCTCTGGGACTGTGAACTGCACATGGAGCAAGTCGCCGTCTATACATGAAGATATACCATTAGCCATTCCACATCCCCGATCATAGAATATCACTCATGGGATACACCACTCACCAACTTTCCTCAACTCCCCCAACACCCTCTCCGCATGCCACCTCAAAAACTCCCTCGCCTCCGCCGTCAGATACGGCAGCCTCCGATACCCCGCCAGGCCCCCCGCAGCAATCAAGACGGCCAGCAGCTCCTTGCGCCCCACCGGCGCATGCAGCACCTCCTGCGCGCCGTCGGCGCCGACGGCCTGCGTGCGCCGCGGCGGCGCGGGCACGTAGTCCGGGTACACCAGGTCGGCGCCGCCGACGGCCACGTCCTCGAGCGGGCAGTACTTGGTGAAGAACTCGTGCACGCAGGACTCGGCGTCGCAGGTGGCGCAGTGGTGCAGAGTGCACACGGGTTGGCCGCTGATGGTTGTGCGCAGGGTTTTGGGCGTGGGGGTGGGGAAGGGGTCGTCGGGGGGGAAGTCGTCGTGCGCGTAGAGGGCGTCGGGGGAGGTGGGGGGTGGGGATTGGGTTGTGGCTGGGGGGTTGATCGTTTCTGAAGAAGTGACATATTCGGAAGCATTGATATGTTCCGAAGAAATGACCATATTCGAAGAATTAACCACTTCCAAAGAATTGACCTGCTCCGCATAATTAACCTGTACCGAAGCATTGACCGGAAGCTCATCCTCACACATCGCATCCGCACCGACCAAACATTCGTCTTCCTGCACTGTATCTGCATTAACTGGAACATCGTCCTCAATCATCGCGTTAATCGTAAAGTCGTCTTCCTGTACCGCATCCGGAACCGCAATATCGACCTCCTGCACCGCATCTGTAGCCGGCAGCTCATCTTGCCGCACCGCCGCGCCGACCAGACCGCCATCCGCCCCTCGAGTTACGTCCACGGGGCTATTTCCTTCATGCACCGTCTCTGTCTCTAGAACCAGCACCGTCTTATCCGCCGCCGCCGGCCGCCGCTCCTCCCCAGGCGCAACAACGCCCGCACCAACAGCGCCCGCCCCCCGCGGGGCGTTTGCCCCCTTCGTCAAAGCCGCCCGCAGCGCCTCCGCGGGGCTCCGCGAAAGCGAAAGCCCATACGTCGGCGAATACGCCGGGAGCAAATACCCCACCGCCGCCGCGGCCGTTGGATCAGTGATAGCAGTAGTAGTGGTAGCAGCGGCAGCAGCCGCAATGGCCGCGCGCTCGCTGTACGGGAGGCCGAATGTCTGGCGCGCGATGGGCGTGGACTGGCAGGTGTGGGCGGTGGTGGAGTAGGGGCTGTTTGAGAGGGTTGGCGGTGGGGGTGGGGTGTAGATGGCGGGAGGTGGGGGGTGTGTGAAGGGGGTGCGGATGGTGGCTGTTGGGGGGTGGGGGGTGAAGAGGATGTGTGTGGGGGGGGTGTGGGCGTGGGCGTGGGCGTGGGTGTTGTCTGGTGTGTCGATGTCCATGGGGTCGGGGTCTGTGGGTGGGGAAAGTTAGTTTTTATGTGCGTGCGTGCGTGCGTATGTGTGCGGTGTGTGCGTCACAGGAGTGAGAGAAATACGTACCGCTGTGAGAAGTCTCGCTCAGTGTGATGTTCGCAGCAGCTGGAGTGGCCGGCGGCGGCGGAGAAGGCAGATTATCGTTCATATTCGCAGCATTTGGAGGAGCCGCCGGCGGTGACGTGCAGACTTCGGCCTTCTTCTTTTGCTTTTGCTTTTGCTTTTGCTCCGGCACTGGCACTGGCGCTGGCTCTGGCTGTTTTTCTTTCTGTTTCTCCTCCGCCGGGCCATTCATCCTGTTCCCCCCACAGCCACCATTGCCATTACCATTACCCGCTCCCACCACCGTCTCACCCGCCACAGCAACCGGCACCACCACAGCCACCGGCGTCCCCGGCACGCTCCTCACCGCCTTCACCGCGCGGAACCTCGCCGCCACACACGCAGCACCCGCATACACCACCGGCCCCGGCCCCGGCACCGCCACCGGCACCGCCGCCTTCGCAGCAGCACTCCCATACACCGACGGCACCGCCGCGAAGAACGACAGCCGCTTCTTGTTCGCCCCGTTCCCACCATTCCCACGACCATCTGCGCCCTTCCGGGTCGGCGACGACGACGGCGACGACGGGTGCACTTCGCTGAACTTGCGCTTCCCCGCCGCTGCTGCTGGAATCTTGAGCACTACTTTTAGCGACTTCTTCTCCGTCACCCCCGCCTCTTCCGGGGGCGGCGTGAACCGCACCCACTCGTCCTCGCCATCCCCATCCCCGTTGCGCCCGGGCGGCGGGGTTGCATCGAACGGCGCCGGCGACGGGTGCACTTCGCTGAGCTTGCGCTTCCCCGCCGCTGCCGCTGCCGCTGCCGGAAGCTTGAGTACTACTTTTAGCGACTTCTTCTCCGTTATCGCCGGAATCTTGAGCACTACTATTAGCGACTTCTTCTCCGTCATCACGGCCTCTTCCAAGGGCGGTATGAACCGCTCCCACCCGTCCTCGCCCCCACTCCATCTCGGCGACGGGGTTGTATCGAAAGGTGCCGGCGCCGGCGCTTCATCGCTATCCACGCTCATGTCGGCCTCCGTGAACAGCAGCGGCGTCGGCGTGGGGTCCGAGTACGGGGTGCGGCGCGGCGAGGCGAAGCAGGGTGGGAGGCGCTGCTGCTCGCCCTTGATGCCGGGCGGGGAGAAGAAGGATGTTATGCTTTTCTGCGTCTGGGGCTTGGGGGGCATGCGTGGTGGGGGTGTTGATGCTGTGGTGCGGGATGGGGTGGTTGTGGTGGGGGGTGCAGGGTGCGGGAGGGGGAGGGGGAGGGGGAGGGGGGGACTCGTCGTCGGATGAGAGGTCGATGATGTAGGGTGCCATTGCGGGGGGGAGGTAGTGGGTGAGCGGCGGCAGCGTGGGGGAGTTGTACATTGGATGGCGAGCTGTGCTGTGTCCGGCGTGTGTGTGGGTTGGGGGGGCCGGGGACTATTCTATGGTTTTCTGGGAGTTGCCGTGAGAAAGGTGCTTGAGGGCACGCAGGGAAGACGCGACGGGACGCGTCGGGGATGAGCACAAGTTTGCAAGAGCTGGAGAGAGGTGGGCTGTGTAACCTTCCTGAACGAGAGTGCTCTCGAGAAGAGAACCGGCTCTTCTTCTTCTTCTTCTTCTTCTTCTCTCTGTTCTTCTGTTCTGCTGTAAGTCTCTGGCTGTCAATGCTTCGTTCTGTAGCCCAATTCTTCTTCAAGGTTTGTGTCTGGCGTCTTGCTCTTGTTTGGCTACGTCACGGGCGTTGTCGAGGGAGGGAGTGTGTGCGGGTGTGTTTTACGCGCTTCGCTTACGATACGTGGCGAGAACAGGGAATATATACTCTGCTGTACAGGGTAGAGCAGCCGGCGCTGCCACTGTGGTGGTGGTGGGGACACTTGAAAAACAGAAACAGAAACAGAAACAGAAACAGAAACAGAAACAAACAGAAACAGAACAGTGGGCGCGCCCACCACCACCACCACCACCACCCACGAAACAGAAAAGACAAACAATTCAAAATCCACTTTCACTAACATTGACACTGTTTCGTTTCGCACAATAAACAACCCCTCCCCACAACCCCCCCCCACCTTCTCTCTCTCCCCCCCTCCCTCCGCGTACCCACGAGGGAAGGCGGGCGAAACAATCATTACCGCCCCCACGAGCGAGCGAGATTCCATGACGCAGCCTGTTTTGGCTGCGGCGGGGAGTGGAGGGGGGCGGCGTGGCGGGGTGTCGTCGGCGTGGACGGGTGGACGGGTGGACGGGTGGACGGGTGGACGGGTGGACGGGTGGACGGGTGGACGGAGGCGCTAACTGCTTTTTCGTCGTTTTTGCCGATAGTGTGGCACTAGCTGCGTTGGGTTGGCGGGGATGGATGGGCATGGTGGGGTGAGCATGGGCCGCATGGTGGGGCTGTGGGATGGCAGGTGGGATGGGATGGGATGGGATGGGGAGGAAAGTGCACCGTGCACGGGGCACTGACCAGCCAGCGGGAGTGAATCTATATCTCTTGCTTCGTAGATCCCCCCGTCCATCCATCACAGCGTCTTAAGTAGGCGTTGATGCGATAAACCAAACCAACACCTCCATGTAACTCGCCCAGGCGCGAAACAGACCACCAACAACACCACAGGCCAGAGCTAGAGGCGAGATTTCCCCCCACCAGCGCAAAAACGACTGTGGCCGAGTTTTGATTTTTCGAAACACTGGTGCCAGCTGACCCAAGCTCTACACCATCCCACCGGTTTCATTGTGCACAGCTGTAGCCGTGTTAAGAACGGCGGTTTCTTAGTGGTTCTACGTTAATTGAAGCACCAGGCCACACAGCACCATACTATATAGCTGGTACGTGGGAAGCTTTAGAGGTGTCTACGTAGCTGCACGCTGTAGCGGTGTGGGATTGTGGAAACATTCAGCGGCAGCAGGTATCAATATAAGTGCATTTCGTGCTGTAGTTCTCTGTCTCGGCTTTATCCACTCCTGTTTCTGCTTTCTAGCTAGTTTCTTATGGCCAACCACATATACGCCCATAAACTCGGACCGGTTTCCGGAGAAGAGGTGCGGGGTGTCGGCCCTGGGGGGGGGGAAACTAATAGTGCCGGCATATTAGTGCTCACTCAATATTGATAATTTGTAGAGACAAAATTCAACTCGAGTGGCGGGATGATATATACTTGTAGGTTGGGGCCGGGGGGGGGGGGGGGGAAGTAAGTATTTATGCGTGGTTGAGTACATGTAGTTCAATGTTACAGATCTTTCAAGCTTGCACTAGCTATAGTAGAGTGCCTGTATTACTGTATGGCCATGGCCATACCGGTACATCGAGAGAAAAGCAGACAATACATGAAAATCCAGAGATATATTACTAGCTAGCTCCACAGCTTACGCTCAAAGGCCGACACAAACCGAGGGGGTTGATATAAAAACAAACCACAAACCACCTGCATATAAACTCATATTGAGCCATCGCATCTGTATCACTTATCCATTCGCGTCAAGTTCTTGGCCACTGCAAATTAAAACATGAGTAAGTGGTATATTGGAACTACTGGCTAATTAGACCGCTCATCAGATTAGCTAGCCACTACGTGTTTGCAGCGGTACAGATAACATCAAGACGCACTGCTGAACCAACAATCACATACACCAACACGCACCACGATTCGACTATTCATCCGTCTACCACAAGTAGCCACGGGGCCCTTCGATCGATTATGTATATATAAATATAAGTATTTTACATAACCAAGTGGCAGAGCTTTTCAAGATGAAAATAAAAAAAAAAAAAAAAAAAAAAAAAAAGAGAAACAGCAAAAAAAAAAAAGCAACTCCCCCAAACTCCCTTTCCTTCCCTTTCCTTCCCACTATACTTACCTATGTACCTCAAATACATGCTAGCTAGCCACATAGCTATAGCTGCTGATAATCTGGCGCCGGCCTCCCGCCCAGTTGAATGCAGCTTGAGACCGGGGCCGTCCATTCCATATCGTCCCATGCCACAATTGCCAATCGTCGAGCAGTGGGGAGCGTGAGAGAGAGCTGCCGCAACTAAAAGAATTACACAAGAACCCAAACCAAGAAAGAAATGACAAAATTTCACTATAAGCCCCAGCTACAGACCTAGATCACTAAAATCTAAGCCCCCCTCTTCCCGCCATTGGTCATGAGCGTAACCTTCTTGAACTTCTTCTTCTTGCCTCCCTTTCCATGACTCGGCGCCTTCCCGCCGCCGCCGCCAGCATCAGCAAGCCGAGCCAGCGTCTCGTCGTCTTCCCAGTCCTGCCACCACCCTGTCTCCTCTCTCTCGACTGCATAGTTCTGCTCCGCACCCTGCGGGAGAACTAGCGGCGTCCCCCATACCGTTCTACTGGTGCTAGGGCTCGTTCCTGGGCTTGCATACTCGCCCTCATGCAATGGAGGCGGAGGTAAACTTGAGCTCCCCTCGCCGCCGTTGGCGAACACTGGTTGCGGAAGCTCATTCAATGACTCCCGAGTGGCTAGCGCTACAAAGTCCTCCTCCGAGAAACCTCTCATGCTGCCTCTTCGCCGGTGACGGTGTAGTGCCTCCTCTTCCTTCTCGGCGCGGATGCGGTCGCGCTCCTCCTTCTGCTCCTTGTCGTGCTTCTTTTTCCGGCGGCGGTCAATCTCGCCCTTGAAGCGGTCTAGGATCTCTGGTGGGACAATGTCCGTCCAGTCACATTCAAGGAAGCCAACTTCGCAGCCGGCTGGAAGGTGCGCTACGTATTTTGCGCGCTTACGGAGTTCATCGTCGACGGATGTGCCTGTGGTAATGTTCTCAACCCGGGGAAGGATTGCGGTTGGAAGAGCATGGTATGAGCCAAAGGCCGTTTTGAGAATGCGGATATCGAGGGAGCTGAGGTAATAATGGGGGAGCGCTTGATAAAAGTAGTATGGCATGTCATGGGTTTGTGGAAGGTGGGGTTTTGGTACTGGGACTGGTGGCTTAACTGTTTGCAGGGACTCCGAGGGCTGCTGTGAAGGCGTAGTTGATTGAGACCGTGAATTAGCTGATGATGAGTGACCGGATGAGGCCTCATGAACTACATGGTAGAATGCCGGCACATTCTCGTCACTCTCGTTAAACATGATCTCTGGGCGCTGTTTCTCCTTCTCCTTGGCTTTTGAAGGCTCTACTACGGCCTTGGGTGGATTCCCCATTCCCTTAATCCCTTCCTTTTGAACATTGATGTTGTTGATAGCTTTTCTAGTCCACTCGCCATCTTCACCAAACATCACCTTGTCCTCTTTAGCCATCTTCTCCAATTCCGCAATCTCTCTAGTAAACTCCTCTTCCATATACTCCTCCGTCCCCTTCATGACCCTCGCATAGTCCATGACCTCCGCTGAAAAATGCCACGGTATCTCATGCTCCTTCTCCAACAGCAATTCTGCGCCCTCTTTCGGAAGCGCCAATGTGCTGCCCTGCCTTCTCATTACAAGCCGTAACACCACATCCTCGCCTTCCCTGGGCGCCGGGTTCTCCTGCCCTACAAAAAATCGAACCGGCCGAATTTCGCTAGAGTAGATACTATCCGTGCAGATTACGCACTTTTTGTACCGCGGTTTCTTTTCCGGTGGTCCCTGCGGCTTGCTGTCATCTGTAGAGGCCATATATCGCATGAGACACGGGAGACAGAATATATGCCCACACTTCGCCATCCGGGGCGCCACGGGGGTAGAAAGACAGATTGGGCAGTTTGTGCGCTGTGTCTGCTCTGATGCTATGACCTGCAGCACAAGATCCCATGGTAGATGCACATCCGAGTCAACGGCCTGCGCGCGGTAATCGCCACGAGGGTGCACGAGAAAGCGGTAGTTGGCATTGATAAAGCGTGCCTTATCAGTCGCATGATATCCCGAACCCAATCCCCAGGTTGGGGTCCTCCGGTAATTGTGGCCGTGACGGTAGTTATTGTGATGCGATTGCGGGCGCGAAGCTACATTCCAATTCATCAAGTGCGTAATACTCGTACCCTTTCTTCCTCCCGATGGCAGCGTCATTGCGTCCTGAGCTATGTCAGCCGTTCGTTCCAACAACCTCAGTGGCAATTTGGAAAAATATATACCTCGTCGATATGGTCGTCGTTTCCGTATCGTGGTGTATGTGGCTTCCTGTGATTCTTGTGGGACTTCCTGCCTGCCTGGCCGTTTCGTGGCGTGCCTCCGTCAGGGATATTACGAGGTCCTCCGGCACTGTTTGAGCCGAGAGGAATGCTATTGCGTCTCTGGGCAGTGTCGTTGGTCGTAAGGGCTGGCGGAGCGGACGCGGGCTGTTTTGCAGGGAAACTGGCGAGTTGAGAATTCGAGGACATGGCAGGCAGCAGGGAAGTGGAGAAGAGATGCACCTTGTGGGATAGTATATTGTACAAAAACAGAAGAAACGAAACGAAACGAAACGAAACGAAACGAAACCGGGACGTAGAGTATGCAGCAGCGGCAGTAAATTCCGTATTAGTTTTCTAAATAGTGGAATTACTCACCCTTTGTTGAGGGCGGAGGGGAGTGGGGGGGGAGTGTCGACCTACGAGGGTGACGTCGATTGAAAGAAGAAAAGGAGAGAAAAGGAAGAGGAAGGGGAAGAGGAGAGGAAGATATGTCAATCAAGGTTGGGCAAGGTGGTTCGAGTGGGAAAGCTGCCGTTGCCTCTCTGAGTAATCTCCGCCCATATCAGTCATCACATCATGCCTGTGACTGATATTGGTAATTTACAATCTACGGTCTACAATACTGCAGTGCATTCCATATCTCTGGCTATTATTGTATTATTTCATGGGATCGATTGAGCCTATTGCTGCACTGGACTGAGTGCAATTGACTCCAATGGCATCTTTCGTCCAAGAGCAAGATGATGCATCTCATCATCTGTCCTTATCGCGATCGTCAGCGGGGTTTCCTGCACCTATTCTGACTCTTTAACAGGCGAGGACAGCCAGTCGATTAATGAACAGAGTCCCTAGATGTAAGTTGTGCTATAACTCCGAGTTTTTAACCACGATGCCATTAGTAGATTAGAATAACTTCACTGACCTCAGAAGAAGCCCTTCTTTGACGTCTTTCTCGAGTCCAATCCCACACCACGTCCGGCAAGCTCCGGATAACCCTAACCCTAGGACTCGATAGCTCCCCCGACGCCAAATATTCAATTGAGGCCCAGAATCAGTGAATGCAGCTTCAGAGCTCCCAGCTCGACTCCAGGACTCGGGCTTCATCCCACAGCTCTCTTCTCTTCTTATTCTCACCCAATTAGCTGCTCTCCAAGCCCAATTCCACATACAACACTCCGCCTGAGACACCGCGGGGACCCTTGCATCTCACCTCCACCTGACCCAGAATGACGCCCTATCCCCCCTCAGAGGCCGACGACACAGACGTCTCCCCACCGCCTCCACCATCTGTCCACAACTGCACGACCACCGAAGAACTCCAGGCTGCACTCGCCCACCTAAACGCGCAGGAAACAGCCGTCACGACTCGCCTCGATGCGCTCCTCAGCACCCAGACAGAGCTCACCCACTCCCTCGGTCGCCTGGATCTCATCCGCGCGCACCTGGGAACGCAGGTCGTCGCCGCCCGGTCCCTCACAAATAGCATGCTGTCCCCCGTCGCCAGCACCGCCGCGCGCGTCACCGGCGCCGTGAAACGTCTCGACATCGAGCAATCGCGCGTCAAAGCCACCCTAGAGGTCGTTGAGCAGGTCGCAGAACTCAAAGCATGTGTTCTCGGCGTGACAGGGTCCATGGGTGCGCCTCAGGACTGGGAGACGGCTGCGGGGTATCTAGCGAGGTCGGCAAAGGTGCCGGAGCACATCGTCAAGGGCGAGTTTGCGGAGGAGATGGTGCCGACGGCGGAGGTGCCTGACCCGCCGAGTGTGACGTTGGAGAATGCGGCGGAGGCGTTGTGTGGGCTGTTTTTGAGGGAGTTTGAGAAAGCAGCGGCAGCCGGGGATGGCGAGAAGGTGACGAGGTTTTTTAAGCTGTTTCCGTTGATTGGGAGGACGGAGGTGGGGCTGGAGGTCTATGGGAGGTACGTCTGTCAGGGTGTCAGTGCGAGGGCGAGAGAGACATTGGCGAACCGGAGAACCTCGGGAGATGGTGTGGGATTGGGCGATTTCTTTTATGGCAATTCCATGAGCCGACTGTTTGAGCACATCGCAAACATCGTAGAGCAGCATGGGAAGTTGGTTGAGCGGCACTATGGTGAAGGCCGCATGGTAAAGGTTATCGAACGGCTGCAAGTCGAGGCTGACACCCAGGCCGGTATTCTCATTGATACCTTCGGTGATGAGCGCAATGTCGATAGAAAGGTGTGTGGAGTGATATTTGATGATTCTGTTAGATTCATCTCACTAACGATATGATAGCTCACCGATATCAAATCCTACGCCTTCTCCTTCTTGGTCCAATCCTTCCTTCCACAGACCCGTAGTGCTATGGGAACCCCTCGCTCGTCTTCTCCGGCACCGGGCGCACCCCGCATGTCCGAAGACGAAGGCGTCGACGTTAAAGAAATCGACATGTTGCTCTCAGAACTCGGTATGATGCTTAGCCGTTGGTCCTTGTACTGCCGCTTTATCGCCCGTAAATGCCTCGTAAGTCCGACACTAAATCCCAGCATTAATCACTGACCTGCAACACAATCATTGACCTACCACAGCCACCCCAACCCGATCCCTCGACCGATGCCGAAGTGGCAATCCCATTGACGCTCCCGCCTCTTCTCCAAAACTCCCTCCTCGCCCAGAAAGTCGAGTCCCGTCTGCTGCTTCCCTTCTCTGCAATGACCACATTCTTCTGCCGGCGCTCCGTCGAGAAAGCATTCCAGCTCGACGAAGCCCCCTCCGACCTCACACTCTCCCTCAGCTCCCCCGTATCTACAATCTCAAACGCCCCCTTCATCACCTCCGCCGTCGACGACGTAATGTACATTGTGCAAACACTCCTCCAACGCACCCTCAACACCTCCCAGCGCGGCCTCGTCACCACCGCAATCTCCACCATCGGCCGCGTCCTCAGCGGCGACTTCATCGGCATGATCCAACGCAAGATGCAAACCGAGTCCTACCCCAAGGGCGCCACCGCCTCCTCCCCACCCCCCGACGCAAAAGTAATCTCCTTCCTCGTGCTCATCAACAATCTCGACATCGCCACCGAATACAACACGCGCATCATCACATCCTTCGCGACCGCCACCTCCGCCCCCGTCCCCGGCACCATCGGCAACGTCGCCCTCGAAGAGATCTTCCCCTTCCAGAACGATGCCGCGGCCGTCAGAGACGCACTGCGGGGCATGGAGGGCAGCTTCGAGGCCAAGGCCGGCGAGCTCGTCGCGGACGGCATCACCGTGTTCTTCAACCAGGTTGTGAAGCCGCGGCTGCGCCCACTGCTGACGGAGGCGTTCCGCGACGTCGAGTATGTGGTCTCTGACCGGGCGGGCGCTGCGGAGGCAGATCCCGACGGCGATGCGGAGCCGGACGACGGCGAGATTGTAAGGCGCAGGTTTCAGGAGGGGTGGGAGGCGCTGATGACGCCGTATAAGCGCATCCTGACGGCGCGCATGTATTCGAAGCTGCTAGGGACCACGGCGGGGTACTTTGCGAGGCTGCTGGAGAAGCGGGTGTGGGGGTATGCGGGGAGGATAAATGAGCTGGGAGCCATCAGGCTGGAGAGGGATGTGGCGGGTGTGGTGGGCGTGGTGGTAAGGGGGGGCATGTATGGTGTGAGGGATACGTTTTTGAGGTGCACACAGATCTGTCTGTGTGTTAATATGGAGGAGGATGAGGTTGCGGACATGTTGGAGGGGACTGATGGCGTAGACTGGAAGTTGGAGGTGGACGAGAGGAGACGGGCGAGGGGGATGGTGGTGGAGAGGAGGTAGTGGTAGATTTCTTTGCCTTCTTTTTTATTTTTTCTTTGTTTTTAGCTAGAATTGAGGGGTTTTGCTGGTGTCTGGTGTTTTGCGAGTGCTTGTTCGTGATTGTGGTGTGCTGTGTTGTGTGTTGGTGATATGTCAATGATATATATGTGTGCTACTTATAGCTTAGGAAAGAGGTTGAGACTTCTGAGTTCTTGGAGCTCCCAACGGACGTATTTTTTCAAGACTTCTTAAAAGGTATCAGGGTTACTCAAAAACCGATGCATGATGTACCCATATCTCTTCCTCTCTGGCCGGCCGCCGGTGGGTTTTACGGGTTCACGCTACGTGTAAACCATACTTGTAGCTGATCATAAGAAAACCAAAAACTAGAAACCAGAGTGGATAAACTTATAACCCGGGGTATATAAGGCATTATAGCCACAAGTGTATCGCAACAACGTTCAGTAAAAATGCATTTATTGATATACTTAATGCTGCTGCCACTGCATCCCAAACCACTAACTATATATGCCGAAAACAAAGAGAAAAAACCTAGTCAGGCTCATCCAAGCATATACTTTAAATGATTAGTATTCTTGCTAGATAGATCTGCCATGTTTCACATATTGTCACTCGGATATGGGTTTAGGGTTGTTTTTTCAATTACCGTCCAGCACATTCGGGAGTCGGGACAGTCGAGTCGGGGATCGTATTTCATTCATTATTACCTTTCAGTGAACATTACCACTACGCCAGCGCCGGCAGAGCTACCTCCCCTCCCTTCTCCTACAATAAAATACAAAATACTAGCTATGCATATACTGTACCAAACATATTACTAAAAAATGAAAAAAATAAAACACTCCCTCCCCGGACGATATCGAGAATAGGCCGACCCTCAGAAAAACTTAACACCCCTCTCATCCTCACTCCCAAACACCTGCGCACTCCCCCTCTTGACGAGCACATCCAGCGCCTTCCTTAATATCAACGGGTCAATGCCATGGAACTCTATCACACACCCACCTGTTAGCCACTTTCTCCCCCCCTCCTCTCCCCCTGCTCCCCCTCCCCCTCCGCACTCACCTTGAGAAACCGTCAAGTCCCCCTCCGAGATCTCATACAGCGTCAACACACTCCCCTTCTGCCCCGTCGCATCAATCCACTGATATATAGCCTCCGCCCACTCCTCCGCACTGCGCCAATACACCACGGCCGCCGCGCCGTCCCACGCAATCATGCCCTCGCCCGCCATCCACTCCAGGATTGCCGCTGCGTCCTTGGGGGATAGTCGGCCTGTTTCGCCGGCGTTAGCCGGCTTGTCTGCGGGTGAGAGTGAAGGAGAAGGAAGAAGGGAGGGGAGGGGGGTACGGGAGAGCTTCTTGTTCCAGAAGAGGTCGGTTTCGAGGGCGTCAGATACGTGCAGGCGCCAGAGACGGTGGTGGCGGCAGTAGTCGAGGATGAAGGAGGCCCAGATTGTGCGTTGGGCGGTCCAGGTAGTTTCGTTTGGCTGTGTGTGGGGGTGTTAGCTGGGAGAGGCAGAGGAGGGAGGGGGGGGGGGGGCGTATCTGGTGAAGAAGGGGGGGAAGTCGTAGTGGTCGGGGTAGATGGAGAGCGGGGTTGTGGCGGTCACCATGGCTGTGATGGAGCTGTTGAGGGGGTATGTGTGAGTAGAGCTGTGTATAGAGAGTAGAGAGCTGTAGGTAGGTAGAGCTGTAGATATGTAGAGAGCTGTAGATACTTGGTAGAGAGCTGTGGTGGTTGTGCAGCGCTTGGTATCGCGGGGTTGATTGGTGGGGCCCAAACCCAAGCTTTGAGGCTCAAGAGCACCCTGTCTCGCGCCTTACCTTTCCCTTTCTTGCCCTAGCAGACCTACTTAAACACCCACCGAGTCTGTGATAAACAACTCCCCCAAATTCTCCAACTCCAACGCCCGATGCCGCCATGACCAAAGATCTCTACGACCCCTCGATCCCGACCTCCCGCGGCGATGCCGACGCCGCCGCGGCCGCCCGAAAGCCCGCAAACAACATCGTGCAAGGCACGTCCGCGGCGGGAGTTCGGGCCGTGGGCACGCAGCTGGTGGCTTTTTACTTTAGGGCGCCGGTAAAGGCGTTTTTTAGGATGAGGGTGGATTATATGGTGGGTTGTGAATTTTTATTATTCTTTATTTACTTATGAGGAATACTATGGGTTATATGGGAGCCGGGATATCATGATCATGGAGACGGCTAATGAGGAAGGAAACACAGCAAATGGTGCGCGCCGTGAACCCACTGATCCAGGCGGGCGAGAGATGGTCTTTCCGGCAGACGACGCCGCTGCTGCTCGCCCACGCCGTCAAGCACTACGGCTGGGGCTTCATCCCGAACCAAGGTAGGACCAATGATCGAACCACCCACCAATGATCACCGCCCCCACAAAACCCCAAAACGTATCCAAAAGCCCATATATACTGACCTCCCCCCTCCTCTAGTCCTCCCACCCCTAATAGCAAACGCCTCCGTCGGCGCCCTCCTCTACACCACCTACCTCACCACCCTCTCGACCCTACACGCCCCCTCCTCCCACCACTCCCGCCGAGTGCACCCCCCACCGTCCCCCACCGCCACCTTCACCGCCGGTCTCCTCGCCGGCACCCTCCAATCCATCGTCGCCGCCCCCCTCGACGCCATCGTCATCCGCTTCAAAGTCAGCGAAATGCTCACCGGCCAATACTCGTCCATGTGGACGTACGCCCACCACAAGCTCCGCGAGATCGGCCCGCGCGGCGTCTTCGCCGGCTACGGCCTCTCACTGCTCAAAGAGAGCCTCGGCTACGGCGTATTCTTTGCGGCTTTCGAGGGCGTCAAGCAGCAGGGCTTCTACGGCTATGCGCGGTGGTACTATGGGCGTGGCCTCCGGCCAGGCGAAGAGACGACGGTGAAGCCCCATTTTACGATGGAGCCGGCGTTCCTGCTGGCCGCGGGGATCTCGGCGAGTGTGTTGCAGCAGGTGGTGCAGCATCCACTGGGGAAGGTGCAGGATGTGCATTGGGGACGGCTGGAGTCGATGGATTATGCCGAGAAGCTGGCGCCGCGGGGTGGGGGCGCGGGGGTGAAGGCGGCGTGGAGGGTGTATGCGAATGCGTATAGGGATACGTGGGTGCAGTGTGCGCTGCAGAAGGAGAAGGTTGGCGGATGGGCGAGGTGGCTGTATAGAGGGTTTGTGATGAATACGCTGCGCCAGGTGCCGAGTACGAGTGCGGGGCTGATTGTATTTGAGTTGGTGAGAAGGCGGTATGCGCTTGTGGGGGAGGAGGCGGCGATAAGGGTCGAGGGCGAGGATGGCGGCGTGGTCACCATTTTGTTGAATTAGTTAAACTTGGGGGTTAGATAGATGGTTGGTTGGTTGGTTAGATTGATATTACCATTGCTTTGAGCGGGTGGAGTTTAGAAGGATAGGGGGCTAGATTGGGTGCGGGTATATAGATATTCTTATAGTTTTTTCTTTTTTCTTTTTCAGTGTTGTTTCCTCTGCATTTGAGTGCATGTAGCTAGTTAATAGATAAAATAACTAATCAACCAATCTCCAGATTCCTCATTCGAGTGCTCAACACTACCGAGTGACATCTCATGAAACTTCACAAGCCAAGAAGCCAAGAGAAGGGAAAAAAGATACCAAGGTCTCAAAAGCGTATTTCGTTGCCTAGCTTGTCCAGGTGGGCGCACATACATACACATGACTGGAAACGATCGCGTGCGCCAGTCCCATGCCCACTCACGTGCAGCTTGGCCAAGCATGCTTGATCACTCGACCGTTCAACTCCCAAAACCTGATGCACTTTTCTCCCTACAAGAGTACATCCCCCTCAGGCAGCTTTATCCCAATTTAGACATCCATATAACGAGCTTCGACTATATAGCCCAATTCCAACGAAAAAAAAGAAAACATCTATGTATGCCTCCTACCGCAAGCTTGACGAGAATGATATTACCGCTAGTTATCAATACCAACGACAAATTTGACAGCTGGCACACTCGGCACCGACGCCATGCAACCTCGACATGTCAAAAATTACTACAATTCCCTTCAGGAGTTTTATGCTGACACCTTTCTAAATCCCCCTCAGTAAATACGTCAAGATGGAGAGACGAGATAACTGCAGAAACAGATACACACAAACTAATTTACAATCCACCCAGAGCACAGTGGCAGCGTGAAAAAAAAGTGGGGAAGGGGTGGAAAGGGTGGAAAAGGTGTTAAGGGTGGTAAGGATGGGAAAGGATGAATACAATCCCCTATGCCAGGATTGTGGTAGGATTATAGGGAACTTTTAAATGATGAGATAAATAGGGGAATGGGAAGTTGTGTGCAAAACGAAGCTAAGAACTGCTAGGTCTTCGTATGATGGTGGGGGGTGGGGGTGGGGGTGGGGGAAGTCTATCCGTGAGCCATTGTGTCATTTCGTCGTATGCTTCGCGCAGTACATCCTGAAGGTTGGTCGCAGGTGATTTGCGGATCGTGCCGTGTTTCTTCTTTCCTCGTCTTACCCCCCAAACGTTATGCTCTTGGGTGCAAAAGATCAAGGAATTCTATAATCTGTTAGCTGGTTACTTGGCTGGTCCAAGTTGGCTACATGGTCGCTTTACATTAAAGTACCAGTCGATGAGTATGTCGCCGTGGATTCCGGGCTTACAGGCCCTGAGGCCGTTCTCATCACCGACTATGCCAATGACCCCTTTGACGCGTTCACGGCACTCTAACTGCAAGTCAGCACTGATCAACCACAACATTGATCGTGGTTTATTACCCCGGTTAGCTAGGAGATATAATATCCCAACAAAGGCATCTCCAACGCCCATGAGTATTATATTCTTGGCATCAGAAATCCTATCAAAAATCAGCTACTGATTACACTCTATAATAGGTGCTATAAACCTACTCAATGTAATTATCCCAAAGGTACATGCAAATTTCTTCCGTTTGCCTCATTACTTCGTATTCGTGCTGTTCGGCCAATGTGCCCTTCATGAATAATGAGTCGCAATCTTACACACATGAAAGGAATAGATACCTCTTTGGTGGTCAAAGCCTGTGGTATATTTACGTCCATGACAGCATATCCTCTCTGCACGGCCCAATCGATGTACATGTTACCTACATCTTCCTAAAACCCGCGAAAAAAATACTGCGTTAGCCTAAACCCAATATCTGCCCTCCCCCGAGTTAAGTAGAATCGCGTGAATTAGCTGGACTGGGGAGGAGTGAATGAGTGAATGGGTGTACCAGCAAGGCGTTGTGGGGCGCAATCCTGTTTATCATATTGGAATCCAGGAGTGCCCATACCGACGGTCTTTTCCCTCGTATCTCACAAAACAGACGCAACTGAATGATTAGACCAAGAGGTACTGATGAAGATTCTTGTGCATGGTTTATATCGTTACGTACGGGTCATGTACAAGCAGGACTAATGTCTCAGCTTTATAAGAATTTGTTCTGTATTTGTTAGAATACCTTCTGGGAAAATTGGAAGAATTACTTACGTCGCAAGAACTTGGTTCTCAAAGGACACAGAGATGGTGTCTCTAAATATTTTCAAATCCGACATCCTGTGCTTCTCCCACAATACCTTCGCTTGATGGGATCTGATGACATCTTTGCCATACCTCTTATCAGTACTTTTAAAGGGTTCTATTTTTATAGACTCAACGCCCTTACCGTGCAACCGATAGGAATTTGTTTTCTCCATAGGATCTACACTAGTTAGGCGGCTCGTTGCTTTGGTAAATGGCTCGGGGGGTTCAAGTTACCTGACTCTGTGAGTCTCATGCAGCGCCAGTATCGTGACTGCTGCATAACACATTTTTCGACATCCCTCGAGGCCGATGGTCTGACTTTATCCCCATCATGAAGTCTCCCGGGTGGTTCTCCAAGTAGTACCTTGGTGACTGCCAAGGCTGAGTGGGATATAGAATCTAGGTTATAACCTCCCTGAGCAGGATTAGAAACCGGACAGTCTAGTGGTGAACTTTTCCCTTACCTCCAAACAAACGACAACCTTTCCGTTTGCGAGTCTCATCAACATATGTGTCATGTGCGCATAGCCAGCTGGAGTCACCATGCATTTTCCTAATTCATCACCTACCGCGGCATCGAACCCAGCAGAAACTAAAAGGTACGTAAGAAACATTATCAGACTCTCATGGGAGGGCACACCCACTGAGAACCAAATCGGGGTCGAACTCTAGAGCAATAGGCATGATAACACGCTGAAACGCGTACATGTAGTCGCCATCACCCATACCACCATCAATATTGTTCCAAGGAACGTTTACATTCCTGGAAGATTAGTAACAGGACTAAGAAAAGGAATTAGATTCAAGATGCTTACATCCCAACGCCTTCGTCCACCCCACACTTGTCAAAATTCCCATGTTGGCCCTCGGGATAGAATTTCCCACCATCAAATCTATGTATCGACATGTAGAGTACATGAGGATTATCATAAAAGATGGCCTGGGTTCCGTTTCCTTTTTCAGATAACCTCAGCATTGGGCAAAATATCAGCCAAATTAAAGCGGGGCCCTACCATGGTGTACATCCCTTCGCCACATGAATCAGCACAAGGTTCTGAAATTCACAAAGGTTGAAAACTTACCAATCCAATATCAATACCTTACGGATTGTTTCCGGGTATCTCTTTAGCATCACTTGGGCAGCAACGCAGACATTATTAAACAGACAAAAGCCCATTGGCTTGTGAAACTCGGCGTGGTGACCCGGCGGCCGCACAACAGCAATTGCATTCTTTACCTTGCTCTCAACGACTGCTGTTGCACATTCGATTACACCCCCGCAAGAGAGCTTTGCGCTAGAGAAACTATCCGGACAGAAGTAGACAGAGTCCCCTTCTTGCCATGCCTCTCTCAGGGCGAGAGGATCCATCGCTAAACCAGCAGGAACAAGTCAACAAACAAGTCAAACTACGATTAACCCCCCAAGCCCAACCCCGGTCAACGAGGATAAGAAGCTAGAGAAAGCAAAGAGCCATTCATAACATACCAGAGGTGCTAGAGATGTAGTCCCAGTGATCCTTAGAGTGCGCCAACAGAGCTTCATCTTCTGTCACCTCTCTTGCGTCTATCCGCTTCATGATCCCATCCTTGAAGGCTCCCTTGAGAGCTTGATCCTCAACAAAGCCAGCACCTACCAGCGCACTATATATGGAGAATATTCGTTTGGGCTGCTCTGGGTGATCGTCCTCATTGATTTGTTCATGATACATCATACGAATGTCGTAACATAGTCCCGTTTTGAGACTTGATATTGGAAGTGCCTTATTGGGCGACATTTGACGGTCCTTTCCTGTCGAATCCTCCCTCGATGCAGACACGTCGCCGGAAAGTCTCAGCGTTATTGCAGACGTCTGGTCAGCCGCGGGTGAAGCATGCTCGCTTCGAGAAGGGTCGTAGGGGCCGGTAAAAGTAACGTCTGCATGCCCGTTTACACAGATCGGAAAGGTAGGTGGGTTTTCGATATGAGCCGCAGACGTACCATTAGGCGCGTCAAGCATATCTGTGTCAGACCCAGGAACAAATGGCATTTGATCTAGCGATCGCTGTGATTTATCTCTTCTGAGCTAGAGATTGGAGTTGTGGGTTGCCTACGAGGAGTGGGCTGGTGGGTTTGCTGGGAGATCTTGGTGGAATGCAGGGTAGAAGGTTTCGAGTTCATACGTTTGTTTCACGCGGCATGCCGAGAGACCAGATTCACTGTGAGAAGTTTTAATAACGGACGTGTTTGTTGCCCTCACCCTGCTGATCGTATCGCGCTCTGGTTCTGTTCGCGCAACCTTTGAATGCGGTTGATGCTGGTTGTGTTGCGCAGCAGCTTATGTCGTCGAGAGAGAGAGGGAGAGGATCCCCAAGATGGGCGCATGTCAAGCTAGCACTGATGCATATCGCAACCCAAACCCCGTCATTTGTTGCACAGACGTCCGCTGATGCATAAAATTATCTTGGGTCGGAAATTTGGGCTGTGGAGAGGACCTGTGCAGGATCTACTGATGTTTACGGTGCATAAATTCATGTTTCGCACTTCTTAGAAACAAACTCCTGGGTGGTGGCCGTACCCAGCAAGCTTCCCATCTAGATATATAAGGGAGCTCAAGGATATTCGAATTCTAGCGCCTCGAACAACTGTATTTAGAGTGAATGAGCAAACAACATCTGATAGGTAAATGGATTATCAAACAACAGCAGAGACATGTTAAAGACGGTTAATACCTTGGAGAAACAAATTAACTCTCATTTCAACAGTACGTAGAAATTGACCATATTTCCTCACCGAACTTTCGAATCCTAAAACCATATCTTTCCAGCTGCAGTTGACAGTTTTCAAGTAAGGAACAACATTCTTCGTGGTTTTATCGATCACGCATTACTAACTGCCGAGATAACTGAGTTCAATGATCTGACCCTAAATTCTATTCCCCCAAGACCTAAGCCCGCAATCCTTGCTAGTCCCCCGCCCAGCCCTTCCGCCGAAAGCTTTACCCGAGGAGCCCGAGTGACCGCTCATGAACCACCATATTCAACCCTCGAAAGACCTAAAACAAACCCCCGTTTTCCTTTTTTCTTCTTCTGTATTTTTTCTCCTGATATTCAAAGTATATACATACCTTGACGCCAATCCAGCCAGCCACCCAGCTATCCATCAACCAACCAAAGAAAATTGAACGAAACCCACAAGACAAGCTATTTACGCTACATACTCTACAACAAACCCCATATGCCATCACCGCTCATACCAAAAAAAAAAGGATGAGACGATCACCCAACACCTCTCAGAGCACTAATAACCACCGTCCCTACGCACTAATAACCACTCATCTTCCATGCACGAGCTCACCAACGTATACTCATGTAGCATGAACATACAAAGAAAAATAAAAATAATGGAAAAAAAAAACCAAACAAGCAAACTTTTCCCATTCCTTTCGCCCCCATCCATCCCAATTTTTTTCTTTTTTCGATCGATCCCGTAACTACCCCGTCTACTCCGAATCCAGAAAGAAGATATGAAAAAATAGGGAGTACATAGAAGCAGAAATATGAGGAGACTATTGAGAGTATATGAGAGAGAAGAAGAACAGGAGAAAATAGTAAGAGGTAGAATGAAAAAAGAAGATACAAGAAAAGCAAAGTAGAAGAGTTAGAAGGAAAAGGTATGAATGACTAAAGAGGGAAATAGTGAGAGAGGTTGAGAGAGTGTGAGAGAAGGAGAGAAGAAACATTTGCGAGAACTAAACCACCTAAAACTTTTGATAAAACAAGATATACGCCACCTTTCCACCTTCGCCAACCCATTTCGCACCCTCTCCCGTGCCTTTACCATTTGCACCGTTCACTGCTTCCCACGCAGCGTTCACCCAACCGTCCTCTTCACCCTCCTCTTCTACCTTTACGTCAATCCTAACCTCATCACTACCAACCCTCTTAATGACTGTGTCGTCAAGTCTAATCCAGCTCTTTGCATCTTGCCTTTGGACATCGACCGTGTAGTGTCCTCCACTTGCACTCTTGCCGTGATGGTAGACGACACCAATCAATCGGTACTTTTGCGGTGGTCCAGCACGTTTGTTATAGCTCATGGCTTCTAGTGGAATTTCAAGAACAAGGGGGTACCCGATCCTTTTCCAAATCTTCTGAACGCCGCTTGTGTTGTCGTACTGGAATCTCTTCAGTTGCAGTATTAAGACCGGCGGCAAGGTCTCGATGAGAACTTGTTTAGTAGCTGTAATATTAGGGCCTTTTGCAGGGTTGTAATCTCCTTGTAATTTTTCAACTACGGCCATGTGTCTTAGCGCATCTGTAACACTCCTAACATCTGGACTCTGAATATCGAGTTGCAGGGGTGTGTAAGGTTCGAGTGTAACACTGGTCTTCAACCCCGGTACCTTGAACTCGCTTCGAAGCTTACCACCAAAGATCTTGGTGATTGGAGATTCGATTATCTCTGTGGTACGAGTAGTCAAGGTCCTCTGTTTATGACCTACTTCCATCCAGCCCGATTCCAAGGACTCTTCTGTGGGAGTCGAAGTACCATTCTGAGTGGGGGTGGAAGTACCGCTAGGCTGGGATTTTGACATAACTTTAATGGCCTCCTCATGCAGACCATCTAGAAGAAATCCTAGAAATTCTTCGGCATCTTGTTGGTGGCCCCGCTATACAATATTAGCACCTCAAAAAGTGGTGGGTTTGGGTAAAAATTACCTTCATATGTGCGAAGCTCTGCATACTCCGTATAACCTCATATAGGAATTCAGGGACAAATGGCTCACCAAAAGCCTCAAAATCCTGAGCCTTGAGTGTCGAAGGCTGTGATTGGGCAACTGAAGGGCTAATGACGCGGAATTCACGCATAAACATGATCCTGAGTCGCATTAACATCGAAACTCAATTTTTCTAGAATATAATATCAAGTACTTACATTGCATCAATTAAAGGCGTGTCCGTTTTAAAGCTGTGTGCGACTTGTTTTGAAAGGTGGTCTAAGAAGTAGTAAAAAGGTCCGCAAAACACCAGCATTTGCAAAACCTAAGGTCTCGTTAGCCACGAATTCTCAAAGGTCTGCCGCTCTGACGTCAGAACAACTTACAGCATTCATAAAGCACATATTACCGGTATTGACCAATCCCCTAGGTTCCAAGAATGGGCTAGTAACATTCTTCTCACTCGGAATCGTGAAGTTAATCAAAATATCTGATAGTGAGTTTGTTACAATTCCATTTCCCTTTATGACAACCGTGCGCTGCTGCTCGACCTTTGCCCCTGCGATACCTGCGGGCGCGGCGGCATTCTTTGCTTTCACCAAGTCGGCCCAGGATTTGGGCGCGGCCGGGGGTGGGGGCGGCGCAACAGCAACGGGTTCACTGACAGCAGTGGGCAGTGCTGGTGTCACTGAAGTTGTATCCTTAGGAGCTGTATCTTTAAGGGCTACATCCTTAGGAGCTGTATCTTAGGGGCTACATCCTTAGGAGTTACATCCTTAGGAGTTACATCCTTAGGAGTTACATCCTTAGGAGTTACATCCTTCGGAGTTACATCCTTAGGAGTTACATCCTTAGGAGTTACATCCTTAGGAGTTACATCCTTCGGAGCTGATTCTTTAACACTTGCATCCTTGGGGATCGCGCTGGGTTCCAAGGGACTGATAGTCACAGGCTTAGCCGGTTCCGTTTGAGATTTAGGAGCGGGCTTGGCTTTGGCCTTGATAATTGGCACCGCGGGTAGCGCAGGTATAGGAACTGCGGGTACTGCAGGAACAGGCTTCTGTACAATGGCAGTAGGGGCAAGGGTAGGCGCAGGCGCAGGCGCGGGTGCAGGTACGGATGCGGGTGCAGGTACGGATGCGGGTGTAGTGGCCGGAACAAAAGCTGCAGCTGGTGGTGGAGCAGTGGAGATGAGTGCCGAGACAACTGCTGAGCCGGCTTCAGAAGGTGGGCATGTGGTAGTAGGCGTTTGAATGTCTGAAACAGTAGAGGGAGCTTGCGCTGTCTCAAGAGTAGGAACTTCCGGTACAACAGGTACAGTCTCCTCCGCTGCAGGAACGGGCTCTGCTAGGGGCAGACACCTGAGTAGTAAGAGCGGAGGCCTTTCTTCGCCGACGTCTACGTGGGAAAGGTTCGTCCGGGGCAGAGTACCATGGTAGCTTCACAAAGTTAGCAACGTGCTCAGATGATAATCCACATTTACAGGGAATGGTCAAAGTACTTGAGGTTGATATTGAGTCCTCACAACTGGTGGAGGAGGCGGCGGTGGGGTTGCGGCCTTCACCACCGGACTCGTTACAACTGGGGCTGGCGGCGGAGGTGGTGGTGGAGGTGGAGGTGGAGGTGGAGGTTTTGTGACCTGGTGTGGGTGCGGCGACCTTACAATCACCGGGGGAGGTGGCGGTGTGTGGGCTTGAGGATGAAATTGTTGCGGATAATAGTACGCCGCAGCAGCTGCCTGGTACATTCTAGGGCCGTCCCTGCGCCGAAATTGAGCATTGGGGACTGCCGGCGGTACGGCTGTAGGGTACGGGTGGTTCATTTTCACCACTCGGAGAACGCAGCTCCTACGACACAGTCGGCGTGGTTTGTGATACCACGGGAACCGACTGTGTTGAAGTTGCCGCTGGTTTCGCTGGGTCTACTTTGGATCAATGCCGTCTAGAGGCAAACCAGGAGTAGATGGTGGGTAGTGACTGGTAGGAGGTTATGGCAGATAAGTCTGATGAATGGGGGTGTTTAGGATGAGATGCTGTGTGGGCAGGAGATGTGGGGTTGGCAAGTCTCGTGTCCTGGTGTAGATGGGCGATGCACACAGGTTTATTGTATGGCTGTGGTACTTTATGTACTTGAGCTGAGCATACGTAGGACCTGATGGGTTGGATGGTTGCGGTTGCAGTTGTGATTGGTGGTGGGGGTATCTATTCGCTGGCTGGTGGGGAGGGTGAGGGAGGATTGGGATTGGGGAGGTTCCGACTTATTTGGGTATGTGCGTGAGAACCAAAAGGGATTGATTATTATGTATCTTGTATCTGCCTTCCCCTCAGGCAGCAAACAAGAGAATGAGAAATGGGAGAAAAAGAAGTGAGTGAGAAAGAGAAGAGAAGTTGACGGCAGAAATGAAGGGAGTGAATAATGAGAGAAGGCCTGGCTGACTGAGGACGTCCGCTGATTAATGTAGCCGCTTCGGGTTTAGCCGCACCGGGGAATGCTTATCACTGGGAGCACAGATACTTAAATGCGACTTCATCTCTACGTTCTCATCTGAGAAATCTCCAAATCAATTGATTCGATGAAGATCGCACTGTAGTATGGCGAGTTTCCTTACAATTTCAACGCCACTCCTAACCAAACTTTGTGCCACGAGTTATCGCCTTTCACTCATCTAAGAAACATTTCAATACAACTAACATTACGCATCATGTAAGCTGTGTAATGTAGGTCTAAAGATCAGCTTCAGGTGATTTTTGTGTTGGTTCCTGGTCGACACAAAACGCCATGCGGTTAGCACTGAATCATGAAGTTGAAATATCCCAACATAAAATAATGCAACCTTATTACCTAGCTCACAATGCTACTTCCAGAGTAATTCGAGGATGACAAGCCAGAGATGATTTTTTAAGTAGAGATTACCGGATGAAGATACGAATAGAGTAATAAGTATATAAAAAAAAAACTATATATCTCTGTACAACCACCAGAATTTCTCGATACAGTAAATACACAAACATTCTACGTACAGCCACTCAGCAAAAGTGTTCGTGATTTAGTTTTAATGTCAGTGCGCAGTGTGGCGCACCCGTGATGTTGATGTTATTAATGTAAAGATTCAAAACAAAAAAAAATATATAATATAGTTCGTGGCTATATATAAAAGGAGATAGGTCATTGATCTTATTCTTAATTGATTCCGGGCTCCATTGGTCACTGGGAAAGTTTTCTCTTGGGGTTTTTAATGGTCCGCCACGGTTACATATGTATAGAGAAATGTCTCACTCCGAAATCGGAATCACGAACACTTTTGCAGAGTGGCTGTATCAGTGAATCTGGCTCGAGCTCCTGATCTATGGGAGGTGATTTGACAGATTACCTAAGGTCTTTATCTCAATTGGGGACACGGTCCTTAGAGAGCTAGAGTAGTATTTGTGTTATGCATGGACGAGTGTACAGTTTCACGAGATTTCTTCGAGTACTTTCGTAGCCAGTGAGGCCCAAAAAAATCGAAGAAATCTAAGACATCTTAAGGAAAATGCTGGATCCTATAAGCTCGATTCTTCATAGAGCACAGGCGTAACGCTTAAAAGGACATATTCGTTGACTTCCAAGAGAATATTAATTCTATGCAATGGCTCAGTCGGATCAATTATGAGTAGTGGTAATTATGGAAACGATGGAAAAATAGGTACATGTGTCTCAGGCAGTCTAGTGCTTGAGGTTCGAGAAGTGATTTGACGGCCCTCTTTGCTTGGTGTGCGAGATGTTTGTGCCGCAGTGCTGCAGTGCTGCAGCTAGGCATTACGCCGGACTAGTCGTCTGTTGAGTACAAGGTACATGTAGGTACACGTAGGTACGTCAGCAGCCAGTACATCTACTTTGTTACATGCTGTAACAAAGGTCACCCCGCCCAACTTAACGGTCTCCCATTTTGTACTGGAAAATACACGTATGTTTCAAAGCTAGGGTATACCATAATAATACTATTAGCGGTTCACCGAGTGTGTGATACACTTGAGCGTAAGGAAGTAACTTAAAGGTAAATAATCTTCTGTTCTTTGGCCGAACTCAAGCTCGTCCTGTAGTGTACTGTTCTGATCTTTGATCACAACTTGCTTATTTTACTGACTCACAGAAGCAGGCTTTTACACGATATTAGCTTTATTTATTATATATAATTATACTGATCTTATATATTCTAAAGCCATCTTCCCGGCGGATCTGTATCGCATGGACCGCAATGACTAGATTCCACCCTCGTTCGATCCACCAACTACCATCGTGGTTGGTATGATATGACGTAGCGAATACCCTGGCAATTAAAGAGCTCAAAGCTGTTATAAAATGTTGGCTGGAGCACAACTATGTTATACCTGTATCTACCAAATTAACAAAAAAAGAAAAACTTTCAAACTCGTCAAACTCATCAAACTCATCAAACTCGTCTAATCATATTCCTCAAAGTGCACATCTCATACACGGCACATCTATTTCTTATTAGTGATAAATGCTAGTCTTCGCCCCATTAGATGAGCCGATAACATGCCAGCTTAATCCCGGCTTCAACTCCGGCCCATCTAAAGACCAGTCAGCGCATGCATAAACTCCACATGTTATCCATTCTTCAACAGAATAGGAAAATCCATAGAAAGACCAGGTAGATGGAGAATCGATAGCAAGGGGTAAATTCTAAGGAAAAACGTCGATAGATGCGAGTTGATTAGAACTGGTTGTATGGGAACGAGATCAAGACGGAAGCGGAAAGCAGTGAGCTGTTTGTAGGGGGTGGGCACGAGACTAAGCGCGACAGGAAGTACCAATTACCCTAGCTAAATTAAACCTTCTTGGCGTTAGCGGCCTAGATCTAGAGTTCGGGAACCACAGAAGCCAGAAAGCATCGATTGGAATGGTCCAGGAAGTATATATCTCGGAGCAGGCCCCCACAATCTAGGGACTACCAAAGTTATAGGCCTAGGGTGAAGGGTTTTTCTTCGTTTTCTTGTAATTTTTTAGCATCTTTGTTCGGGCCCTACGTCTCTCCTTGATTCTTGATTCTTATGCTCGCCTTGGCTGTACATGTACAGTTCGGCCTATACCAGAACCGCCATTGTCGATATAGATATAGATTTTTAAGCTTGTAATTTCTCTGAGAAGAAGATACCACGATGAGCCCTGACTCAAAGAAATAAAATAGACCAAGTCGCGAGTCGCTGTAGCGAGCGAGTGATATTTGATGAAGGAACAATATAAGGTACAGTATTAATCAAATTGATATCAGAGTCAATGTCCCATCATCATATACACTATCTTAGAACCCAGAAATACACTACCCACACACCGATATATGGAAGTATTCTAGCTTCAACCGCCACGGGAGTGACATCAATCCAGATGCAGGATGTACACCCGAGGGAGCAACCAGGGCGTTACAGCTAAATCGCCGTCTGTAGGTATAATATGACTTTCGTATCGCATTCTGACTCCATCGATATATCGGTCTCTACAGTACACTGCATGCAACGCAACACGGAACGCCGTACATATATTTCCTCACCAAACAAGCACATACAGCCCATACATCGGCCTGGAGGTTCTAACTGGGACAATTAACTCAACGGGCCTCGCCCCGAGGCTTCTAAGTCTATATTACCACTGATAATCACAACTAAACTGAAGATATATATATACGGATGGCTCAATATTAATTAGCACAATATCAGGGCAATGATGTTGTGGGGTTACTTTTCCTGCGCCCATATATATAGTAAAACGCGTGCCAAGCTAGTCACTCGATCAATTGAAGAGCTCTGGAGGTCTAACCCCTCCCATTTCCTGCTGGATTTAATGTCTCCTTTGATGGGTGTAGAGATCCTTCTTCCACCGATAGCCCTGCGGCGTTCAGAAGTATGTGTTATGAAAAACTTCAGCCGCGGTCATGGAATATCTCTTTGATCGTCCTTGCATGTACATAGGATCGGATCGGATTAAATTTATAAAGTGCATTTACATTTCACATATACCCCCAGAGTATCATGTAATATCGCTCTTACAATTTCCAAAATACTATATGTACCTGAGTAAGATATTTCTTACGATCCTCAATCTAAAGCTCTGTTGCCTTGGTTGTTAGCGCTCCCCCGCTTCTGTTATATGTCCATCTATAGCTAGAGTGTACGCTCACTCCCATGATGAAAATACCCCCCCACGAACTCGTTTCCAATATGACTTGTACAGACCTAATCAAAACATAAAATAAGCAGCCATGTGCCACTGGAACGAGTGATTTCTGGTGACGCGATACCTGCTTACTAATTCGATCTGATTTGTATTGCCGCGCTGCCATTGGCCGCCCTGGACGTCGACGGTTTCACGCGAGATTTCCCTCGTTCATCGTCATTAGCCCGCCCTCCCACCTCTTATCAATTCGCCCCCCCCGCCACTTCACCTTCTCCCTTTCTTCTCCCCCCTCTCCACTCCCTCTTTCGCATCTCAAAATCTTCCAAAATGATGCGACAGAAATTATTACGGAGTGCGAAGCCCACGGCTGGCCGACTTCTCACTAATTGCCCCGCGCGGAGATCATTCGCTGCCACCGCCCGAGCCTCCGCCGAGGTCGAGGTCACCATCGATGGGAAAAAAATCATGATCGAGCAGGGTTCGGCATTGATCCAAGCTTGTGAGAAAGCCGGAGTTACCATTCCCCGGTACTGCTACCATGTATGTTCTATTCATGCTTCCTTTACCTTTTCCCCACAGTTCCCAATTGCATCCCTGATGCCCCCAGACACCCGGGAGTTATGGGCGGTGGTGCATACAGATTACTGACGA